GTGCTGCGGCGCCGCCTCAAGCTGCCCATCGACGTCATGCGCCAGGCCATCCGCACCAAGCGCATCGGCAACCTCCTGCGCTCCCTGCGCGCCCAGGCCTCCAATGAGGCCGGCTCCGGCACGCATCCCCGCGGGGGGGACGGCTCGGTGGGAAAGGGCTCGGGCAGCGAGCACGGGTCGGCGGAGCACGGGCCTGGCAGGGGCAAGCAGGCGAGCCCGGACAAAAGGAGTGGCAGTGGCAAGGGGGGGCGCGGGGTGTTTGAGCCGAGGGATAAGGACAAGGGGAGTGCGAAACGGGGCAAAGTGTATCGCGCGCTGAGGTCGCTGGGAGGGGGAGGCAGGACATCAGAGAGCCATGGCAGCGAGGAGGAGGAGGAAGAAGGTGAGAAGAAAGAAGCCGGAGCTGCAGAAGCGGCAGGTGACGAGAAAGGTGAGAATCAAGTGGCCGAGGAAAACGCTGGAGGTGGTGATGCAAACAGCGTACAGGAAAAAGGCATTCCCATGTGAATGTACACATGATTATACGGTAGCTTCATAGAAAAAAAAAAAACGTAGAAATCGTAGCAGTTGTTATTTATGCATAGCAATTGTTATTTATGGTCAAAGTGAAAATATGGAATCTGGATGTTCAGGTACTAAATGCCAGCTGTGGTAGGAGGGTTGTTTCTTTTTGAAGGGTGAAAAAACATTGAAGAATGCCAGACATCCACAGCCAACTGATGGGAGGAAAAGCAGTATCTGCTGGTAAAAGTGGTCGTTGCCAGGTGTAAGGAAAATTCCTTTTCCTTACTTCGCATCCCCGCTCAACGCGTACATCACTGTAGCACCTCAGTCAGCACCGTTACCACTCGCATCAATAATCCGCCCGCCATTTTTCGCATGTCGCACCCCGACCTCACGGCTCGGCGGTAACCCGCGCTCCGGACCTCCGCCTCGACACTTTTCCCAACCTCAGTCCCAGGCCCGTCGCGCGACAACCACAGTCCATTACCGTTACCACTATAGTTTCGCTATATAATCCTTCGCTCATGCCTTCGCTCATTGTACTCTTGCTTCGATAGTGCAATCTTCGTTCGCTCACTCGATTGCACCCGTAACACTTGGTATTCAGAGCCTACGATCTCTTCTCGGACCGCATTCACACCTTCGTTTCCCCACTATCTCAATTTTTTGGGGGGGTAGACGTCTCTCAGCGATCAAGCACCGCCGCTCGTAGTGCTCTCTCGTAAGCACGCACGGCCACGACAGAGGCTCTCGCTGCGCTTGACCGACACCCCCGCCATGGCTGAATTTACGCTCGCGACGTTGACGCAAGAGCAGCTTGACCGTCTGATCCGTCAAGTTGAAGATTCAGCACTCGAGATTGCGACGCTCACGGCAGAACGTGACTCCGCGCGTCAGCAATCTGCGGCGAATGCTCCAGCGTCACAAAATGCACCTGCACAGTCAGACGAGCCGATTGTCATCTCGTCCGGCACACCAACACAGCACGACAGCGTGGGACAGCGCTCAGGCGCAGCCAGTGACAGCGCCGCCCAGCCAATGCCTGGTATGGGAGGAAACCGGGCCGCACCAAGCCCACGGGAGCCTCGTGAAGCCCGTCGGCACGTGGAGTTTGCGGCAACAAGTGGCGACCAGGCAATCATGGCGCCGATGCCACTCAAGCCGCAGCGCCCGCCCTGTTTCGACCCAAGCCAGCGTGGTGGCCCGACGGTTCAGTCGTGGATCTTCACGATGAACGTGTTTTTTGACGCGAACTACGTCGAGTCGGACGCAGCGAAGATACGATACGCCGTTTCGCTGTTGAGGGGCCCCGCTATGGACTGGTGGCGAGTCATCGTGACGTCGCCACGCGCCTACGAGCCACCGTCGCAAGAGGAAGGGCCCGCGGGCCCAGCAGTCAACTGGATTTCATTCTGCGAAACCGCCCAATACAGCACGTGGGATGCGTGGTGCGTAGGGCTTCGGGCGCGCTTCGAGCCGATCGCGGCTTCGATTTCGGCGCGTCAGAAACTGCGCACTTGGCGGCAGCTCGGGTCGGTTCAAGACTACACGAGCGGTTTTCTCGCATTATGCGAGCAGGTCGGCTACATGCACGAAGCGGAGCGGGTGGACCGTTACGTCGGAGGACTAAAGCCGGAAATCTCGCAGGAAATAATGCTACGCGGACTCTCGAATTTCAACGAGATTCTCGCGATCGCCGAGAAAATCGACATTTTGCGCCGTCCGAGACCGGGGTCCTACTACGGACATCGTCCTCGAGGACCGATCGAGCACGCCACCGTACACGCCGTTGCGACGAATGCAGCTGCCGCACCATTCAAGGGGCGCTGCTTTGCTTGCAACAGGCCGGGCCATCGTAAAAGTGAGTGTCCAGAGGAGCTAAGGCGCCGCGGAGCAGAGCAAGGGAGGGAGTCTCAGAGGCAGGGAAACGCCAGCAGTCAGTAGAAATTGGGCCGACTACTGACGAGACTGCCTGCTCGCCCAACCACACCGACCCTCACCGAGTCACAGTACCGATCCACGCTATCGATCGGGCTCGGATGAATAAGGAGGGTACAGCGACGGATTGCCCAGTACTGATCCACGGGAAAATACAGGGAGCAGCAGTCAAGATTTTTATCGACGGAGGAGCTAGTCACAGTTTAGTTAATACCGCGACCGCACGGAAACTTCAACTAACACTTAGCCGGTGCTTACCTGAGATTGATGCACGCTTAGTCGACGGCACGCCGCTGGCCATACGGGAGAAGGTGGAGAGAGTAAAAGTTCGCTGCGGAGGGAACTTCGGGTTTACACAAGAAATGCTCGCGACGACACTGGATGGGCACGACATTTTACTAGGACGTGATTGGTTGCGACGTTACAACCCGAGAATCGACTGGACGACAGGCAGCTGCACTGTGCGAAGTAGTGGTAACTGGGTCGAACTACCACGCTGGCAGTCGCCTGAGTCGTCGACGGTCCACGTCAACGCCATAACAATGAAACGGGCAGTCGCCGCTGGAGCTGACGTGTATGCAGTGGACATCGCAGTGGTAGGAGAAGCTGAGCAGCCGAGTGATTTTCAGAAACTGCTGACAGCGGTACCGCCTGAACTACAGGAGCTATTGAAACGGTACCCGGGGATTTTCCCCGACGACTTACCGGAAGGACTGCCACCTCAGCGGGCGCACGACCATAGGATAGAGTTAGAGCCGGGGGCACAGCCAACTGTACAGCGCCAGTTCAGACTGACACAGCCGGAGCTCGACGAACTGAGGAAGCAGTTAGATTACCTGTTAGCGAAGCAGTTTATCCGACCGAGCTCGTCCCCGTTCGCCGCACCGATACTATTCACACCAAAAAAAGATGGAGGGTTTCGCATGTGCATCGATTACCGAGCGCTCAACAGGGTTACAGTGAAGTCACGATACCCCATTCCCCGCGCCGACGAACTGATCGACCAGCTGCGAACAGCACGGGTGTTCTCGAAGATAGATTTACGGGGAGGTTACCACCAGATTAGAGTCGAACCATCGGACTGCGCCAAGACAGCTTTTAGGACTAGGTACGGGTCGTTCGAGTATACCGTGATGCCTTTCGGGCTGACCAACGCACCTGCCACATTCCAGATGACCATGAACGAGGCGTTTAGACCACTTTTAGATAAGTGTGTGATAGTCTACCTCGACGACATTCTCGTCTACAGCCGCGATAAGCAGCAACATTTAGCGGACCTGGAAGCAGTGTTTAAAATTTTAGAGGAGCATCGGTTATTGACCAAGGGGTCTAAGTGCGAGTTCTTTCAGGATAGGTTAGAATTTTTGGGGCACTTATTTCGGAGGCTGGGGTTGAGATTGACCCGAAGAAGCTGGATACGGTCAAAGCTTGGCACCCCCCGACAAACATCACGGAGCTGCAGAGTTTTTTGGGTTTTGTTAATTACGTCCGTCGGTTCGTCCCCAACATGGCACGCTTAACTGCCCCACTGACGGATCTGCTACGGAAGGGGGTCGTTTTTACGTGGGGGGAGAAAGAGCATGCTGCCTTTCTCTACCCTGAAAAATGTTCTCTGTTCACCGCCTGTCCTGCGCATTGCCGACCCACACCGCCCATTCGAAGTCATTACTGACGCAAGCGACATCGCCATCGGAGCCGTACTGCTACAGGATTTCGGGAACGGCCTACAGCCCATCGCATACGAATCACGAAAGCTGCACCCACCTGAGAAGAATTACCCGATACACGATCGCGAAATGCTTGCGATCGTGCATGCGTTCAAAGTGTGGCGCTGTTACTTGACCGGCGCAGACGTGACAGTACGGACAGACCACCGATCACTACAGTATCTCCGCGCACAACCCCACCTCAACCCACGACAGATCCGCTGGCTCGACTTTCTAGAGTCGAATTTCCATTACACGGTCACCTACAAAAAGGGAGCGTCCAACATTGCCGACGCACTGACCCGCCCCACTGCCCAAATCCACGCAATACTACTCGCCCAGACTAGCCCACTACTGACAGGACTATTTACCCACGGATATCAAACAGACCCATTCTTCACCGGAGGCAATTCGCAGCAGTTCGCAGCAGCACGAGGGGTCTATTACGTAAAAGCCGGGACCGACCGCATTTGGGTACCCAGGTATACACTACTACGGGAATTACTGTTACAGGAGGCACACGACGGAGTTACCTCGGGACATTTTGGGGTAGAAAAAACACGGCAGCAGCTGCAGCGGTATTATTACTGGCCAGAAATGTTGACCGACATCCAACGACACGTGGCGTCGTGTCCCACCTGCCAGGTCATGAAATCATCACGGAAGCGGCCGGCAGGACAGTTGCAGCCGATTCCACCCCCAGAGCGTGCTTGGCAGCAGGTGACGATGGATTTCGTCACGGGGTTACCGGCCGGGGCGAGTGGGAACGACGCGATCCTGGTCGTCGTCGATCGACTGACGAAAATGGCACATTTCGCAGCTTGCAAGAAATCAATCACAGCCGAAGAAACAGCCCGCCTCTTCATCGCCACCGTTGTTCGCCTCCACGGGATACCATCGGCAATTATCAGCGACCGCGACACGAAATTCACCAGCAACTTCTGGCGGAACCTGTGGCAGCAGTTTGGCACGCGACTACAGTTCAGTTCTTCGTACCACCCCGAAACGGACGGACAGACAGAACGGACAAACCAGACCATGGAGCAGCTCATCCGGGCCACGTGCGACGACCCGAACACGTGGGAACAGCAACTGCCACTCATTGAATTCGCGTACAACAATTCGCCCTCCGCCACGACCCAACAGTCACCGTTTTACCTGAACTACGGACAGGACCCAACAGTACCCATGACCCCAAATCCCGACAATCCAGTCCCACGCGCACAACAGTTCGCCGAGATTTTGCAAGCAGCACGGACCAGGGCAACAGACGCAATTAAAAAAGCCAACATCATCGCTAAGCGCAACGCCGATCGCCACCGCCGACCTGTCACTTACCAGCCAGACGACCTAGTACTACTCGATACTCAGAACCTCCGCTTGCCCATCACTCCAAAACTTCGCCCCCGATATTGTGGGCCATTTCGCATCAGCCACATGATCACACCCGTCACCGCCCACCTCCTCCTCCCTGCTGACTGGTACGTCAGCCCGTCATTCCACGTCAGCCTACTTCGCCCTTACATCCCATCCACGAGCCAACTGCCACGAAATCGCCCAGCCAGCATGACACGCCCCCCAACCGAACCAATCATCACCCCTGAAAAAATCCTCAGCCACCGAGTCCGCGACCCTCGGGGAGCCCGAAGGATCGAGTTCCTAATTCGCTGGAAGGACCGAACGCCCACAGAAGACAACTGGGTCCCCCTGGATAAAATCGAGAACTACCCTGTCTTCACCGAGTACCTGCGAAGCCGAAATTTCCGCGACGTCCATGCGCTCTCGTAAGAGGGGCCTCCTTGGGGAGGGGGATAGTGTAAGGAAAATTCCTTTTCCTTACTTCGCATCCCCGCTCAACGCGTACATCACTGTAGCACCTCAGTCAGCACCGTTACCACTCGCATCAATAATCCGCCCGCCATTTTTCGCATGTCGCACCCCGACCTCACGGCTCGGCGGTGACCCGCGCTCCGGACCTCCGCCTCGACACTTTTCCCAACCTCAGTCCCAGGCCCGTCGCGCGACAACCACAGTCCATTACCGTTACCACTATAGTTTCGCTATATAATCCTTCGCTCATGCCTTCGCTCATTGTACTCTTGCTTCGATAGTGCAATCTTCGTTCGCTCACTCGATTGCACCCGTAACACCAGGCTTTTGTTGTCCCTCGCTACCAACGTTTCACTTGATAAGGGCGTGGAAGATCCCTTCGAACATGTGTTTGGTTGCTCATGTGGTCGAACATCTGGCTTCGTCAATTGCTTGCGACATCTTTCGTCGGGTAACACATGAAACCCTACATTGCAAATCAGAGAGGCTTTAAGGTTTCGTAAGAGGCCTTGTTCGCTCTCAAGCGAAGAAATCTGAGTTCGTAAATCACTCGGAGCAAATTGGATTGCACCACATCACCCACGACAACACCTGGTCTCCTGTCGCGTGATTCTTCTTACGTCGCCAATCTTTGTCTTCCCCTCGTGGACCCAAAAACGTGGGGCAACAAGGGGGCACGGGCTCTGAAACGTGAGTGCTTGCAATTTTCGTCACTCTATTAACGACGTTTAATGGCGAGAGTCGCAACCTGTGTTACTGTCGCAACTGCGCGACCAATGCCTTGTTCAAAGGGATCTTCCACGCTCTAAACACCCATTTTTAACCGAAGCGCTGGTGTCAGTCGGATGTGGTCAGTTGCGAAAGGTTTGGTTCAAGCTGCACGATTCCGTTTACAGGCCGACGACCCTCTGCGCTGTGCTGGAGACAGAACCGTCTGCAAGACCATCCTACCAGGCGTGACCTGGTTGGGGGCGACAACCGTAGATTGGTGCGCTAGCGAAGCTGAGGGCTCGTAGATCGTCGCAATATTTCGCGTGGCTGTCACCGTCAGTTCAGCGATGCGTTTGAAATGACAGCAGCGTCAGTGTCCACGGTGGTAAGCACGATCAGGAGAGCGAGCGGCTCGGTCCGTAACGCGACGCGTCTCAACAGATTGTGCCATGCTTCTCATTTTTCCTAGGTCTCAGCTGGCAGCGGCAAGCGCAGGAAACAGAACAGACATGTGGCACAGACAGGTGAATTCGAACGGCAGTCAGTGAAAGCAAAAATATGAGGCGCGCATGAAACAACGCCAATAAAGTTTTGAAAATAGAATCGAGTCGTTGCGCAGAGTGGAACAGAGCTGCTGCATCTCATCGCGTGGCACCACTCTGCGTCTCTTCTTTCTGTAGGTACCAGCTGATCATCCACTCCGCGTAGTCGAGCGCCATCATCCATCCATCTAGTATTTATTTCGAAGCTATTCTGCCAGGAAACTTGAAACCTAGTCATGGCAGCACTTGTCTTAGATCAGAACATCGTCAGCGCAGCGCCCCCGTCTTTTCCTTCCCAGCCACTTTCGATGGACCCGTCGTGCCCTCCGCAAGGCAATTCTCCAGCATGCGCAGGGCAGGTAATAGCAGGTAATAGTAGGACGCGCCTTCGCGCCATTCTACCACGCCCAGGAGCGGGCGGATGCAGCAAGAAGCGGTCCACTCCCGATGACGGGCTGGCCGGACAGGAGCGCCCGCGGAAGCACCTCGTGACGCCGTCCCCTCAGCTACCGGTGCCACGCGCCGGCCAAGGGAGCGCCGCGCTCGCTCCTCGTACTCCCTCTCCCATCTCCTCGTTCACCTCGTCTCTAGCTCTAGGTGCCGCGAAACTTCGCGGCATTCCTTCAGCTTTCGCGAAGGCAACGGCCCTGGCAGATTGTGAAGCAACACGCCAGAACCATGAATCCACATCGGCGAGAGGGTCCGCGCTGAGCTCTCTATTAGCGGCGCAACCTACACCCGGCGCACTCCTGTCATCACCTCCCGCTCACAATTCATCACCGCTGTCCTTCTCCACGACTCCGCCGCCGCCCCTGCTGGCTCCGCGAGCGAGCTACGACCCGTTGGCGTTCGCGCGTGGCATGCAGGCGCTGCACGGCACGGCGCTGGGCCGCCTCATGCACACGGCGCCCGACATCGTCGTCGACGGCATTCCGCGCCGCCTGCTCACGCCGTCGCCTGGGAGCACCGCAGCGAAACTCGGGCTACTAGCGCCCTGCGTGGCGCAAGTGCTGCAGCAGTCCGTTCAGCCCACTACGGTTGCAGCGGCGCAAGCCGGAAACTACGCCACCTGGTCGTCCATTTGCCCGAGCCCTCCGTCGCAGCTCCCTGTCGCATCGCCCACGACGAGCAGCAGTCCAGTAGCTTGGGCGCCACCCTCATCGCTGGTCGCGGCGTCGCAGGCTCCCCCGGGCAACAAAGGTGCTGCAGCAGCCGTCGCACAAACTCCCACTGCCGTCGCTCCCGCTTCCACGCTGCATGCACCGTCGTCAGCCCAGGTGTTCCCCCCAGCGCACGGCTCCGCAGAGTGGCCCGGAAGCACGCCGACGACGTGCCAGCCCACGACGCGCGTGTCGCTCAGCGCGTGCAGCGACGACGGCACAACGGGCAGCCTGCAGGTGTCGCACATGCTTCCCCCGCTTCTACCGTTGTCGTCGGGGTGCTTATCGCAACCCGCCAAGGAGCCCTGGCCTCTCGAGCGGAACCAATCGGTGACCAGCAAACCCGCTATCCAGCTCACCGCTCGCGGTACCAGCGGCGCTGCCGCAGCTCCCGCCGGCGCCCAGTGCTTTCCGTCTTCCGCCTCTCCCTCGTCCTTTCCGGAACAGGTTGCGGCCGTCCGACCTTCCCATGAGATGACAGCGCGCGTGAATTGCGGCAACGGGGCCCCGCAATCGCCTCTCCACACCTTCCTCACCTTAGCGCCTCCATCTAAAGGATCGCCCTCCACTCTCCCGACAAACCCATCCTTTGCGGGGGCTGCACCGTCGCACGTGGCAAGTGTGGTGGAGGCACAATCGCTGGCTGATGATGACTCGCTTGCTGTAGAGTCGCTGCTGCTAATCCGTGCTCTGTGATTAGACACTAGACGAGGTATCCTCGTCAAGGAATGAGGGCTTTCTATTCAGTCTGTGCTTTTGTGAAACTTACACCAAATTAGCCGGGCAGTACCCAGGCATCATACCGCTTGGTTGAGAAATTCAATTTTTTTACATATAATACAGGGTTGAATTTCCATTCATAAAAAAAGGTCGCTATGCACCTTGTGTTGCCCCACCAGAAACTCAATCACATGATGACAGTAGATTGTAAACAGTCAATTTAGATTATTATGGATGAGTATAACTGCCAGGATATATATTTGCAATTTTGCTCAGTCTATTTCAAATTTCGCTGTATCCGGGCTAAGAATTGGCTTGCAATTTTCGCTTGCTGCGGCATCTTGAAACGCGTAAACCAGCGACGGTTGCGTTTCTCGCTAGTGTGGGGTACTTGTCGCTAAACGCAACCGCCAAGCAGACGACGGTTGGAATTACCTGCACCTTCCCTCTTCCGCCCCTGATCTGACATCCACCGGCTGCAACGCGGTTCGGCTGGCACTCCTTTTCAGCCCTCTTGGCAGGCAGCATGGTGGCATTCCGCAGCGGCTGTTGCGCCGCGAGATACTCCGAGTCTGTTAGTACTACTAGTAGTAGTAACGCCGCAAGTTGCCCCAATAACTTCTTTTCAGAATGGAGGTTGTCTAACCACGGCTGTAACAGCTGCAAGAAAGGTCTTACCTTCGCACCAGCACATATTGACCTACTACGGGTTTCCCCCCTCCCTCCTGCTTGCATGCGCGCCACGCTGCCATTGGCCAGACCACTGGTCTGCTTGCCCGTGCACTGATCGTAATAAACTCCTCGTCTGAAACTACTTGTTTGTCAAAATCACGTGGCTAATCGTGCGTGTCATCGCCCCTAGCAGTCGTGAACGCCATCACAGTAAGCTATCGAGGCTGCGAAGAGACAGAAACTGTCTGTGAAGCGACGCAAGTCATGACTTGGACCAAGGCAGGCGCCCATGGCGCCATGGGGTTGCGCCATCTCTTGTCGCTCGTGCTGGCTGTGGCACTCGCCGTGCTGCCGCCGCCATGCGCGGCGGTTGAAGTGCAGCGGGGTGCGAGCAGCTCACCCATCGTCACTGACCCAGCCGAAGGTGCGCCGCTCCCCGAGTGGCCTGTCACAGCGTGTGCCGCCGCTCTGCTGCTCTTTGCCCTCACAGGCTCTGCTCCCGCTTTCTCCCCTCTCCTGTATTACTGTGACCTCCGTGTGTGCCTCCTCCTTGTGTGCGGTTTCCCGAACGCCTCTTCATCCCACAGAGGCTGTCTCATGTGCTGTCGCCGCGGCATTGGTCCCACCATGTCGTCTCCACTGGAGATAATCTCCTTCACACTCACACTCATGTCCCTCTCACTCTCTCTCCTCAACCCTTCCTTCCCCTCCCCCCTTCCCTCCCGCTGTTTGCGTGCGAATCAGTGGAGGTGCTGCGGGCGGTGAGGGATGGCATAACGAACGCAGTGGAGTGGCTGCCGCACTGGGCGGACGAGTTTGACCCGTGCGGCCCGCTGGGGTGGACGCCCGAGATCATCTGCAACATCTCCGATTCAGGCGCCGCCACTGTCACCTCCATGTATGCCACCCTGGCACCTCCATGCATGCCAGCCTGGCACCTCCATGCATGCCAGCCTGACACCTCCATGCATGCCAGCCTGGCACCTCCATGCATGCCAGCCTGACACCTCCATGCATGCCAGCCTGGCACCTCCATGCATGCCAGCCTGGCACCTCCATGCATGCCAGCCTGGCACCTCCATGCATGCCAGCCTGACACCTCCATGCATGCCAGCCTGGCACCTCCATGCATGCCAGCCTGGCACCTCCATGCATGCCAGCCTGGCACCTCCATGCATGCCAGCCTGGCACCTCCATGTGTGCCACCCTGGCACCTATGCCAGCCTGTCACGTCCATGTCTCAAATGTCAGTACCTGCGGATCAGCCATCCTCACCCCGTTCGCCCTCCCTACACCTCCCCGTTCCTCTCCGCCCTGCAGCTCACTGCGTGCGGGTCTCGTGGGGTCGCTCTCGCCTGCAGTTCTGCGCCTCCCCAACCTCGAGTCGCTGTGAGTTCACCCGAACCTTCCTTATCTGTTGCAAGTCAGTGCATGTCTTAAAGCCATGCATGTGTGTGTGCGTGTGTGAATGTGTGTTCCCCATGATCAACAGGGTGTTAGGGCAGGTCAGTTTCAACGCCACAGCACTGCTGCCAATCATCAACGGCCTCACACAGCTCAAACAACTGTGAGCCTCCCACCCTCCCTCCCCCTCCTCTTCTCCCCCCCTCTTCCTCCCACCTCCCCCCTTCCCTGCTACCTACCTCACGTGCCCAACCAATTTTGCACATCGTCATGCCATGCCCCATCATGCTTCTCATGTGCCCCACATTCCTCAAAACATTGTTTCCCCTTCTTTTCTCTCCCCGCTGCCCCCAGCGCGCTCATGTCAACAGCGCTCAACTACCGTGCCAGCCAGCTCGCCCTTGCCAACATGACGCGCCTGCAGGACCTGTGAGCTCCCTGCCCACCTCTCTGCTCTTATGCCCAACCTGTGAGCTGTACTGCCGAGCCTGTGAGCTGTGCTGCCGAGCCTGTGAGCTGTACTGCCGAGCCTGTGAGCTGTGCTGCCGAGCCTGTGAGCTGTGCTGCCGAGCATGTCATCTGTGCTGCCGAGCCTGTGAGCTGTGCTGCCGAGCATGTCATCTGTGCTGCCGAGCCTGTGATCTGTGCTGCTGAGCCTGTGAGCTATACTGCCGAGCCTGTGAGCTATACTGCCGAGCCTGTGAACTGAGCTTTTCCTGCGTGTTGGAACTCCACGTTGCTGACGCTCCTCTTCTCCTCCCTCCATCCTGTGTCTCCCCCATGCAGCACGCTGCAGCGCGTGGGCCTGTCAGGCCGCCTCAGTGACCTGCACCTGCCGCTCATGCCCTCGCTGCTGCGCATGTGAGTGGGAGAGGGCTATGACGGGAGCTCTAGGGGGGGGCATTAGAGAAGGGGGGTTAATGGCTGTAGCTCATGCAGGGTGGCTGGAGGTGTGTGCGTGGTTTCGGCTCAAATGTGTGCATCTCCACCTTCGCTGGTTCCTGCTTTGAAGGATCGACATGAAGTGCCAACTCTCGCCTTTCCCTGCAACAACTACCCAACTCCACCAACCCCCCCAATGTCAACCCCCGCGTGCCGTGCAGTGACCTGTCAATGAACAGCCTCACGGGGCAGATCCCACAGGAGCTTGCTTCTCACCCCTTCTCCCACATGTGAGTCACATGGCCCTTCTCCCACATGCGAGTCACATGGCCCTTCTCCCACATGTGAGTCGCATGGCCCTTCTCCCACATGTGAGTCACATGGCCCTTCTCCCACATGTGAGTCACATGGCCCTTCTCCCACATGCGAGTCACATGGCCCTTCTCCCACATGTGAGTCACATGGCCCTTCTCCCACATGTGAGTCACATGGCCCTTCTCCCACATGCGAGTCACATGGCCCTTCTCCCACATGCGAGTCACATGGCCCTTCTCCCACATGCGAGTCACATGGCCCTTCTCCCACATGCGAGTCACATGGCCCTTCTCCCACATGCGAGTCACATGGCCCTTCTCCCACATGCGAGTCACATGGCCCTTCTCCCACATGCGAGTCACATGGCCCTTCTCCCACATGCGAGTCACATGGCCCTTCTCCCACATGTGAGTCACATGGCCCTTCTCCCAAATGTGAGTAACATGGCCCTTCTCCCACATGTGAGTCACATGGCCCTTCTCCCACATGCGAGTCACATGGCCCTTCTCCCACATGCGAGTCACATGGCCCTTTTTTTTTCGCATGAGAGCCCTTGTTCTCTCTTGTGAGAGCCGCCATCGTCACTGGATCATGATGCCCACCTGCTTTCTGTGCTCGATCGCTATTATGCACACCCCTCCGCATCTCCTCTCTCCTCTCCTCCCCTCTCCCCTCCGTGTCTGCCCTCACCGCACCCCACGTGCCCACCAGAGACCTCTCCACCAACTCGCTCTCAGGCTCCATCCCGCCGGCGCTCGTCGCCTCGCCTGCCCTCGTCAACCTGTGAGCGCCTTGCTCCTCCTCCTCCCCCTCCCCCTCCTCCTCCCCCTCCCCCTCCCCCTCCTCCTCCTCCTCCCCCTCCTTCTCGTCCTCCTCCTCCTCCTCCTCCTCCTCCTCCTCCTCCTCCTCCTCCTCCTCCTCCTCCTCCTCCCCCTCCTCCCACTCCTCCTCCTCCTCCACCTCCCCTCCCCCTCCTCCTCCTCCTCCTCCTCCTCCCACTCCCCCTCCTCTTCCTCCTCCTCCTCCACCTCCTCCTCCTCCTCCTCCCACTCCCTCTCCTCGTCCAATGTCTTGCACTATCTGTCTCCATAACGTTTTGCACTATCTGTCTCCATAACGTTTTGCACTATCTGTCTCCATAACGTTTTGCACTATGTGTCTCCATAACGTTTTGCACTATCTGTCTCCATAACGTTTTGCACTATCTGTCTCCATAACGTTTTGCACTATCTGTCTCCATTACGTTTTGCACTATCTGTCTCCATAACGTTTTGCACTATCTGTCTCCATAACGTTTTGCACTTTCTGTCTCCATAACGTTTTGAACTTTCTGTCTCCATAACGTTTTGCACTTTCTGTCCTTGTCCTCGTTACAGCGTAACGTGTCTCCGATGGTTTCCAATATGACGCCACTCTTTCCCCCCCCTCCCCTCTCCCTCACCTCCATCCTCCCCCTCTCCTCCCCGTTTCAATGGCAGCATTCTGTTCGGCAATGAGCTGGAGGGGGGCCTTCCAGACAACTTCACCACCGCCACGTCGCTGCAGCACATGTGAGGCCAGGGCACGGGCATAGACAAGATGCATGGATGTTTAGCAGTACGGATGTGAGCAATGGCTAGTATTCGGTTTCAGCTTCAGCTGCTTGCATTGTTGGCGCAGTCATCCTCTCTTCCTCCTCCTCATTCCCTTCTCTCCCCCCTCCCTGCGCCCATCCCCGCCACCACAGCGACCTACAGAGCAACAAGCTGACGGGGTCCATCCCCCAGTCCATAGAGACCACGCCCTCTCTCTACTACATGTAACGCCCTCTCTCTACTACATGTAACGCCCTCTCTCTACTACATGTAACGCCCTCACCTGTCGCTACCACCGCTGCTATCCTTCACATGTTGTTCCTTCATGCCATGCAAATCCCACGCTAAAACCGTGATTTTCCTCCCCCCCCATCACATCAAGGTCGTGATCTGCTCTCCTCCCAGTCACGCTCCCCCTCTCCTCCCTCACCTACCTGGTCTGTCCCTGTCCTGTCCGCTCGCTGTGTGCAGCGACCTCTCAAGTAACGGCCTGACGGGGGAGATCCCGCAGATCTACAAGGAGTGCTCCTTCGTTGAGCTCTCGCCCTTCCTGTGAGCACCATCTCGCCCACCGCTCGCTCACCTCTGCTTGCACCTGCTAGCCCATGTACCTTGCACCGAGCTCCATGCACCAAGCTCCATGCACCACGCATACACCATGCCTGCACCCCTGTTCTACCTTCCATTTATCGTCTCAAGCATTCCAATCAACTCTTCTTAACCCCCACTCCCCATGCATGCGGGGCGGCAGCAACCTGTCGAGCAACGGGTTGACGGGGTACCTGCCGGGGAGCATCGGCGAGTACTCTCTGCGCAACGTCAAACATTTCGTACTGTCAGTGCCGCCTCCCCCTCCTGCCCCTCTTTCAATTGCTCCTCATACTCCCACCGCCACCTCGTCCTCTTACTGCCACCTCATCCTCTCACCGCCACTTCGTCCTCTTACTGCCACCTCATCCTCTCACTGCCACGTCATCCTCTCACTGCCACGTCATCCTGTCACTGACACGTCATCCTCTCACTGCCACGTCATCCTCTCACTGCCACGTCATCCTCTCACTGTCACGTCATCCTCTCACTGCCACGTCATTCTCTCACTGCCGCGTCATCCTCCCACTGCCACCGCATCCACTCACTGCCACCGCATCCTGTCAGTCTCCCCTCCCCTTCCTTGCCTCGTCTCTCGTGCTGCTCCCTGACACCCATGCCATTTTCCCACCCTCCTCACGCCCTCAACTCACCTCCCTCTCTGCATCGCCCATGACCTGAACCCACTACCTATCGCCCCTCTCACGAGTGCAGGGACGTGAGTCACAACAAGCTGGAGGGAGACATTCCCCAGCAGCTCATGCTCTCGCAGTCCACTCTCCTGTAAGTGCCCTCTCCACTCCTCTCCACCACTTTCCATCGAACCTTCATGTCTCAATTGAGCATGTGTACCACCACCTGCCTGACTCTGCCTCCATCCTCACCGCCCTCTCCCATCCCATCCCGTTCCTCACCTTCAATTGCTGCCATATTCTTCCTGCCCGACGTGCCTCCCTCCCTCCACTGCTGCTGCTCCCCATAGGTGCCACTCTCCTGTCGCCTCACCTGCCTTCTCTCCCTCCCCTCTCCCCCCCCTCCCCTCTTGCCAGTCTGGACGGAAACGCTGGTTTCTGCAACCACCCGGGGTACCCACCGTGCCCGGCCCGCGCCCCCGTCGCGGTTGACTCTACCACCTCAGGAGACTCGTCAAATGACTCGCAGCAGCAGCAGCAGCAGCAGCAGCCGCCTTCATCCGGCCTTTCCCCTGCAGCAGTGGCGGGCATAGCAACAGCGGCAGTGGCAGGTGTGGCGGCGCTGGTGCTGGCAGCGCTGGTGCTGGTGCACATTCGGCGCGCAGATGGAGAGCGGAGGGAGGAGGAGCAGGGGCTGAAGGGCAAGGGCGACCCCAGCGATTCTGTCAGCCTCTGGCTGCCTGACTCGGGGGTGGGCGGCAAGAAGGGCGCCAGCGGCAAGTGGACCTCTGCGGACTCTGGCGGCAAGTCCAAAGGTGACCCATCAACCTTAACCTCTCACTCGTGCTTGTCCTCCTTCTCTCCACCGCTCTCCCCTGACTCCTGATCTTCTCTCCGTCCCATGGCACACACTCACTCTTCCATTCTCTCACATCGTCCCCCTCTCCTCCCTCCCACCTCCTGCAGTGTTTTCGGAGAAGGCAAAGAAGGCGGCAGCAGCGCGGCTGGAGGGGTCGCTGCTGTTCTGCTTGGACGAGCTGATCGCCGCCACCAACGGCTTCCACCCCACGGCGCTGCTGGGGCGGGGGGGCTTCGGCCACGTGTACCACGGCGTGCTGCCGGCACTAGACGAGGGCGAGGAGGGCGAGGCGGTGGCCATCAAGGTGCTGCACTGGGAGGAGGGCGATGCGGGCACGGGTGGGCAGGGCGAGAGGGAGTACGAGACGGAGGTGGACCTGCTGAGCCTTGTGAGGCACCGGCATCTCGTGCGGCTGGTGGGGTTCTGCAGCGAGGGCCAGCACCGCATGCTCGTGTACGAGTACATGCCCAGGGGGAGCCTTGCACAGCACCTTCATGGTGAGATGCCTGCCTGCCTCACTTCCTGCCTGCCTGCCTGCCTGACTTCCTGCCTGCCTGCCTGCCTCCCTACCTCCCTGTTTCATGCTATGGTAATGATTATTCGTTAAGCACACCCGTCCTTCCCTCATCACGCTCTGATATCCGCCCTTCCCTGCCCGTCCTTGCTTTTCCCACCCCCCTTGTTCTTCCCACTATTTCGCCCCCATGCCCCTACCCCAGGCGGGCAGGAGGCGAGGCTGCCGTGGTCAGCGCGGGTGCGCATCGCACTGGGCGTGGCGCGTGGGCTGGCGTACCTGCATGAGGGGTGTGTGCCGCGCATAGTGCACCGCGACATCAAGCCCAGCAACGTGCTGCTGGACGCCAACATGGAGGCGCGCATCGCTGACTTCGGCCTCGCCAAGATGCTGCACGACCATGAGCGCGACGTTGCCACCCGGGTGCGTGGCCAGGGAGAGAGAGCCCATGCCTGCACGTTGACTGTGCGCTGGCCGTGCACGTTGACTGTGCGCTGGCCGTGCACGTTGACTGTGCGCTGGCCGTGCACGTTGACTGTGCGCTGGCCGTGCACGTTGACTGTGCGCTGGCCGTGCACGTTGACTGTGCGCTGGCCGTGCACGTTGACTGTGCGCTGGCCGTGCACGTTGACTGTGCGCTGGCCGTGCACGTTGACTGTGCGCTGGCCGTGCACGTTGACTGTGCGCTGGCCGTGCACGTTGACTGTGCGCTGGCCGTGCACGTTGACTGTGCGCTGGCCGTGCACGTTGACTGTGCGCTGGCCGTGCACGTTGATTCTTGCTGTGATGCGCCACTCCCACACCCTACGCCTGCACCCCTCCGCAACCTGCCGCACAACTCTGCGCCTGCCTAATCTATGTGTGGAGCAGCTCTGACCACCTCACTCCCTTACCTTCCACCGCTTGGCACCCAGCAGGTGCAGGGCACGTGGGGGTACGTGGCACCGGAGTACCTGGCGGGGGCAGCGGTGAGTGAGAAGGTGGACGTGTATGCCTTCGGTGTGCTGCTCCTCGAACTCGTCACCGGCCGTTCTCCCCTCGGCGACTCCAAGCTTGTCACCTGGGTACGTATGTGCACAAACACACATGTTCATTTACACATGTGCACTCACACCGCTCCTGCTTCAGTCTTTGCGCTGCATTCTTCTTAGAAGGTGACTGAGAGTATGCGTCCCTCGCTCTTCCCCACTGCCCCCCTTCTCCCCGGTGCTCCTCGCCCCACCCACCTGCAGGCGGAGGAGGTGGTGGCGAAGGGCGAGCTGGGAGCGCTGGTGGACCCGCTGCTGTTCAGGGACTACAACGAGGGCGAGCTGAGGGGCCTCGTGCACATCATCTTCCTCTGCCTGCACCACCACCCCGATGACCGCCCCGCCATGTCCCACGTGAGTGCCGCCCTTCTGCCAGCAGCACCACCCACATACATGTCGTGACTCCTTGCTGCACTGTGCCACTGCACTGTACCCTCTCTCCCACCATGCTGCATGCTCTGACCCAAGGTTCCCCTGCCGTGTTGATTTACTTTAGACTCCCATGTTCCGCCATCTCTGCATCCCCGTGGCTCTCACAGGTGGTGCAGCTGCTGGAGGGCGAGGCAGCAGCGCAGGCAGCAGGCGGGCAGATCACCCTGCCGCACATTGCAGTCTCTCTGCCGCAGTCCACCCTCCCCCACATGAGCCCTCCTCAAATCTGACCAGCCATTGTTCGCATGCGTGCGGGTAACAGTAGTAAGAATGGTGGGCGTGAAGTTTTCAGATGGGCTGGCATTCAGGAGTTGGATTGGATGTCTAATGAGCAAGAGTAAATTTATGCTGGATGCGGCTGAACAGAAACGGGTTGTTATCTCATTCCTTCTAACGGTTTTTTATTTCATTTCAATCCCCTGGACGCAATGCGGACATCTCTGTAATTGTACCCATAATAATAAGATCTGTTTCGAGAATGTGTCCATATCATAAGCGTAGGCAATTCTTGATGTGTCCTCCAGTAGTTGGGAAGAATGTACTCACTCGTCAATATTATTTGCATTGAAAGCATCAGAGCAAGGAACGTATGAGTGATATGATATCCCTCAGCTGTAGGATGCGGACAAAGAGTTGAAGCTCATTATTTCTCATGGCAACGCCACAGCCTTGCCCGATCTTTTCTCCATCATGCCATCTAGTGTGAGGTCCCTTATTCATGCAATGTACTTTACCATATCACTGAATTTCAGCTGATAGCATGCTGTTTTTCAATTATGGCTAAGGACGCCGCTGTAGCTCTCTTTACAACCTTGTCAGCATTAGGTGCTGGCTTTCTATTGAGCGATACCATCATACATGCTAATTTGTATCGAGTAGTACGGTAATATCGGTAGTTATGTTTTTATTTCATGCACTTCGGCTATGCATACAAAAATTTATTGTATTAGTGGTTTATTGAGTCAATTCAGCATGACAACTCTATTCAGCATTTAAATAAGGTACATAGATGAGGAGTTTTGTGATATTTGCTATTCCAAGCTTGCTGTCCTCTTTTCACTTATTACTTCCTGCTTTCGATACAGGAGGAGCAAGGGCTGGGCTTCGCCAAAACCACATGGCCTAAAGGCGCGACGCCGCCATTATTCGCGGCTCCAGCCCGTCGTCATTACATCCCAGGGTCACCAGTCCTGGCTGGTCATGCGAGGATATCGCGAGTCAGCAAGGGTTACACGTTTGAGTCGCCACCAATCACCGCTAGTTTTTTTTTTGGCTTGGTTCTGCTTTCACGACAGGTGCGACGTGGTTTGGTTTTGCTGCACAAGACCCTGAGCCTAGGGTAGCCAGACTCGCTGGGACACCTCCGTCTGCTGTTTGGCAACCAGCTCCTTGAACACCTGGCTGCTCCTCCGCTGCATTTTGGCAATCTCGCCCCAAATGAAGCCGCAGTACTTTTGCACGCGCAGGTGAGAAGAGCACAACCAAGCAATCCACCCAGGATAGGACTAGACTGGAGCTGGCATGTAGTTCTCCTTGTGCTCTTTAGGCATCTTCCCACATTCGAATTCGACTTTTCTCCTCCATTCCTTTTTACCGCAGAACAGAAACAGAATAGAGGTGCCAAGCGCATACCCTTGCGAAGCTCATAACATAAATTTCCTAGGCCGAAGGCAACGATGGCGAGGCACCGCGGTTCAGTTCAGGCGACAATGGTGGACATGGCGACTCATTTCCTGCGCTTCCTGAATCTCATCGTGCTGGCTGGAGGCGTCGCGTCAATAGTAATAATGCTCATAATCCGCCCCGTGCCGCTCTTTCCTCCTGGCTGGGGCTTCATCCTGCTCGGCGCGCTTACAGTCGCATCCGGTCTGCTAGGAGTTGTTTCAGCTGCGCGGCCAGGATTCTTCTTCGACTGCCACGTGTTCTGCCTTTTGGTCTCCCTCGCGGGCTTCCTCGCGTCGTTCCTGGTCATCTTCCTGCGCCTCGACGTAATCGTGGGGAACCTGAGCCCGGCGGTAGAGAGCGGCAAGGCGCGGCAGCTGGTGAGCACGGAGGGCGCCATCTACCTCGTGCTCTTCGTCACGCAGCTCGTCGTGCTGCTGCTCGCCGCCATCGTGCAGTGCTGTGGCGCAGCTGACTATAGCGATGCCTACGAATCGATTTCCCCCGTTAGAGCCTCAACCCGCAGATATGAAGAGCCTCGGCGGCCGAGAATGGAGGCTCGTGCTGCTCCTCGAATGCCGGAAAGACCTAGTGAAGCCCCCCGGCGGTGGATTCCGGCGAAGCCGGCGGAGCCGACGCCGCCAGCCATGGCAGGTGGTGTGGAGTATTCGGGCAGAGTGGTGGGAGATAAGACGCAGAGAATGGCAGAGCAGCTTCAGCAGAAGTACGCGCACTGGGTCAAGCGCGACACGCAGTACGACGTGGAATCCGCCAAACCGTTCAACCCCTCAAAACTCTACACAGGGGATGACTGAGAAGGTCTCCGTTAGCGGCACAGCTTTTCCTAATACGCGTGATTGCACGTTATGGTTTGCGTTGTTGTGCTCGCAGCAGACTGATGCTCCCATAGCACCAGTTGCCATTACACTCGCCAAAAGTGGGAGCATTGGCACCCATAATGTTGATACTAAAATGGGAAATAAAAATTGCTTTAGTTAGAGAAGCAGGTGTGAATAGAGAGTAGTATGAATAAATGGTTATTTGGCGTGCATATTAGAATATTTGATTATGCACGTTTGCTGAGGCGAATTATAATAACCCTGGACTGCCAGTACCAAGGATGGGCCTGGCTCAATCACATCCGCATCAGCAAAAGTGCAGCGTGCCACGTGAGACGAGAAGGCCTATCAAACACAGCGACAGGCGCACACGATACATCCATTGGTGCCGCCTTCTCGCCTACTGCTCCCTCCTGCATGTGCGGGCTGAAGGCAGATTCGTCACTCACCACGATTCGTCAATGCAGCACACGCTGGCAACATCCAATCATGTCGGTTTCTTGGTGCCACCTCAGCTGCCCCAGTGTCGCTCTCAACTCTTCATGCTTTTCTCGCGCTACCAATTCTGATCCGATCCCTGCCTTTCTCCCAGCAGGATATCCTTGACCTCCCTCGTCCTTTTTCTCATTCTCACATCTCAATACTAACCATTTGGTGATCGTGTTTCCACCTAGTCACCATGTCGGCCATTTCAAGCCCAGTCTCGAGCTTCTTGCGAGGCTCTGTTGCTAACAGCTTCGTCGAGAGTCTCTCGAGCAAGTCCTCTGTTAGCCAGCAGACTGCTCGCGTTACTTCGCTCCAGAAGCATTCGCTGGCGTCTGCCGTCTCCGCTCCGCGCGCGTCCATTTCGAATAATGCGGACTTCGGCAAGCCCGAGAACCCGAGGGCGAGCCGGATCGTGCCGTCCGCCGTGGCGAGCGAGCCCGCGGCAGTGAGCAACTCGCCAAATGCATTCCACGTAAGGAACCGGGGAGGGCTGGTGACGTTCAGTCGATGACTCGGGTGATAAAGCGTCAGATTTAGGGTTACGTCGGAATGCGAAGACTACAGAGTTCGATCGGTTCTTGCGAAGCAAGAGGCATTGTCTAGAATCTGGAAGTTACCCTAGCTCGCGCGGCCTCGTCGCGTCAGTGACTTTCCGCGATATATGATGTCGTCATACAGACTCACAGTCGTGCGTGCTTGTCGTGTATCTCTCCTTCTGTATCGCCTTCTCATTGTCGCCGCCCTGCTTATGTCTCGCTCGTCCCTTTCTCACTCGCCTTTTGTGTCGCCCGGCCGTGTCGCGCTCCCCGCGCGCACCTGCAGACGGAAAACGGCTACCTTTACGTCGAAGATATGCGTGTCGCTGACGTGGCAGAGCAGATCTGGCAGCAAGAGGACAACTTCCGTCCCTTCTACCTCTACAGCCGTCCGCAGATCCTCCGCAACTATAACGCGTATGTGGACGCGCTTAAGGGCCTGCCGGGGTCTATTATCGGGTACGCGGTGAAGTCGAACAACAACCTCAAGGTGCTGCAGACGCTGTGCGGCGCGGGCAGCGGCGCCGTGCTCGTCAGCGGCAACGAGCTCCGCCTCGCGCTCCTCGCCGGCTTCGACCCTTCCCGGTGAGTCACCCCCTCCCCGCTACCCCTCCCGGCGTGAGCCCTCCCCTCCCCGTCACCCGTCCCCGTGAGCGGCTGGAACCTCATTGGTTAGCCTAGCCGGCATAGTTGCAGCCCAGCACACACTGTCCAAGGCTGAACTTACAAGGAGATAGAACTACATACGAGCGTACCGAAAGGGCCGGCGGAAGGCGCGCGGGCGCGCTCTGCTCCCCCACCCACCCACTCTCCCACGTGTGCTGTCTCCCCACTCACCCACCCACAACCCCCACTCCCCTTCTCTCCCCCACCTTGCGTGCGCGCGTGGCGCGGCAGGTGCGTGCTGAACGGCAACGGCAAGCAGCAGCACGAGCTGGAGCTGGCCGCGGAGCACGGGTGCCTGATCAACATCGACAGCGAGTTCGACCTCGAACATGTCACCGCCGCCGCCGAGGCCACCGGCAAGGTCGTCAACGTGCTGCTCCGCATCAACCCCGACGTCGACCCGCAGGTGCGTTGGCGGGGGGAGGGTGGGGTGAGGGGGAAGGGATGATTGAGGGGCGGGAGAAAGAGGGTGGAGAGTGATACGAGGAACGTCTCAGACGCACGCGTCGTTGACATCCGCCTCACTTCGAGAGTTCAAGCACATACTGGTGACCTCACACTAACCCGTTCACACCTCCATTCTCCTCCACTCCTCTTAACTCACTATCCCCTCCGCCCTCCTGCCCGTTTCTCCCCCTCCCTCTGCGTTGGTGTCGTGCGCGCAGGTGCACGCGTACGTGGCGACGGGCAACAAGAGCAGCAAGTTCGGCATCCGCAACGAGCGCCTGCGGTGGTTCCTCGACCAGATCCGCGCGCGCGAGGGCAAGCTGCGCCTCGTCGGCGCGCACTGCCACCTGGGGTCCACCATCACCAAGGTGCGCACTGCCACCTGGGGTCCACCATCACCAAGGTACGCCGGTGGGGTAGCAAGGGACAGCGGACACAGCTCAATGGGCTGTTGGGTGGCGGAAATGCAAGCTCGTAGTATGCAGCACGAACGTTGAGCACAGTCCTAACTTGTTTGCAACACGGTGTGTCTTAAACAACAGCACAGTGAACAGTACAGCTGCTGCTCTGTGCGTGTCTGTCAATGCGGCTCGTTGCCTGGCCTCCACATGCCTCGCCGCCACCATGTATACTCACCTCTTCTGCTGCCCTTTCCACCTCTACCCATTCCTCCTCCCCCTTTTTCCCCCTTCCCCCCACCCACCATGTGCGTGGCAGGTGAACGTGTTCCGCGATGCGGCGCGCATCATGGTGGGGTATCTGGACGAGATCCGCGCGCAGGGCTTCCCCGTGCAGTACCTCAACATCGGGGGTGGACTCGGCATCGACTACTCGCGCTCCAATGCCGTGCTGCCCTCGCCCACCGACCTCATTGACACCGTGAGCCGCCTGCCCTCCCTCTCTTACACGCTCAGGAGTTGGGTTCGCATTTTGAGGATTCTCAAATGTTGATCCAGTGTACTCCCTCTCACTGCACCCCTGCGCATATTGCTCATTGGGTTCGCTGGGTTTGGGGCCACACTTGCGATGTCAGTCCTCCGTTTTTCACCGCGTGATGCGTTGGCACTTATCATCAGCCGTTGTGCACCTTCTCTTCTGCCACTCCCATGGCCCACATGCCGCACCGCCACACCAGGTGAGGGAGATAGTGACGGACCGCGGGCTGACGCTAATCATCGAGCCGGGGCGGTCGCTGATCGGCAACACGGCGGCGTTTGTGTGTCGGGTGATCGGGGTGAAGAGCAACGGCAGCAAGGACTTCATCGTCGTCAACGGCTCCATGGCTGAGCTCATCCGCCCCGCCCTCTACGACGCCTACCAAGTCAGCCGGGAAACAGGGATTCTACTCCTCTCAAGCTCGCCACCCTGACACCTTCCCTCCAATCCTCACGATTTCCCTTTACCTGTCTTCCGGCTTGCTCCATGCCTGCCTCTCCTAAACTCCTGCCTCTTGCCCTCCCCCATTCCCCCTGGGAGCAGCACATAGAGCTGGTGGCGCCGACGCCGGAGGGGGCGGAGGAGCGAAGCTTTGACGTGGTGGGGCCCGTGTGCGAGTCCGCTGACTTCCTCGGCAAGGCCCGCTCTCTGCCCACACCTGCTGAGGTCAGTGCTACTGCCAGCCACTGATGTGGGTGACAGGGGGGAGCCATGGGTGAATTCCCATCCCAGCACAAAACATGGTTGGTGACGTAGTAGTCTGGGACCTGGTCTGGGTGCTGCATACGTTGCTTACCGTATATGCTCTCTTTATAGTCTGCATCATTGTGCCTCACGTGCTGCTGCTCTCGTTGCAGGGGGATGCTCTTGTGGTGCACGATGCTGGAGCGTACTGCATGGCCATGGCTTCCACATACAATCTCAAGATGCGCCCTCCTGAATACTGGGTGAGCAACCCAGTTGCTTGGCTTGCTTGTTTTCTGATACAAGCATCTGTTGCCCATTCCTGCTTGGCTTGCCGTGGTGCATTTCAGAATAACCTACGGTAATGCTTTTTTGTTGGTGTGTTACACAGGTTACTGAGGAGGGTAAGATCCAGAAGATTCGCAGGGGAGAGACGTTTGATGACCACCTTCACCTGTTTGAAGGTCTATAAGAAGGATGAATTGGAATATGTATAGTTTTAGGTAATGCATGCCATCGTGTGTGAACTGATGGTGATATAATTGAATGCTAGAAGCATGATGGAACTGATTACCTGAAGTAGGAGCCTCTTCCTGGTTAGAAAGCAGCCAGCCAGCATAGCAGACATCATAAGAACAGAACAAATGAGTTCATTTTGAAGACTCACAACGGGGCCTCTGTTTCCAGATGCCTTGTCTGAAGAACTTTAGACACGTGTCTGACCATCCATCCCCCTCCCGTCCCTCAGCTACTGGACCTCGGAACTTTCTCCTCTCGTCGTGCCCCATTGGTCCAGCACAGCACGGCCAATCCTTTTCCGCCATGCGAATCATCTCCCGCCACAAATCCATTCAGAAACATTTCTCAAGGCCCCAATTCCCCCCCTGTCCAGCCCCCACCAACTACGGGTGGGTTTTCGGCAGGGGCGCACGCACGGGAACCAGAATGCATGCAGCCAGCTTTTCAGGCCAAACCCGCCCTCCGCCCCAACCCGCCATCTTGTGGCATTTCGTTTCTACCTCCTCCCTCCACAAAAGCATTTGCTGCTGTCACTGCTGTGTGCCATCAGCATCGCATTGCTGAATTGCCAGTCAGTCCACGAGCCGATCCCCTCGCTGCATTACGGATTAATCATGGCCAGCGCATCGTGCCTCGCAAAGGTGAACCTGCAGCCGTCGCCGTGCGCTGCCGGTCTTAGAAGCCAGTCCGCGGATTGCGCGTCGTTGCGCAAGAGCGTCGCGGTGCAGCCATGTGGCGTGCGGAGGGGAGTGAGCGTGCGCGCGCACAAGGACGCGGAGAGGGTTGGCGTGGCGGCGGCGGCCGTGGCTCTGACGGCGCAACTGACGGCCGCAAATGCCGCGTTGGCCGTGGACGCGGACCAAGTCCGAGAAACACTCGCCCAGGCATGTACCGCGTCCTTAATTTCTCAGGCATTGTGTCTCCGATTTCGTAACAATCTATCAATTGTCTGTCTGAAAATGATTAGTAAAGGCTTTATTTTTTCAACTTTCCTTCGCGCCCTGACTCCCGTTTCCTCGGTTCCTCGCTCTCTTCCTTCAAATCGGCCAGGTGGAAGAACTGGCTAAGCAGACTGCTGACCTGGCAACCAAGGTGTACAGCACGAGCATCGACGTGGCAGAGCAGGTGGTCCGCGTCACCAAGCCGCTGGTGGAGGCGGCAGCGCCGGTGGTGATCGAGGGAGCGCAGGAGGCGTTAAAGGCGGCGGCACCGGTGGCGTCGGACCTGGCGGAGAAGGCGTCCAAGGCGCTGCAGGACTCGGGCGTCGACGTCGCGCCCGTCGTCGAGGCCGCCAGGGTACGTTCACAGCCGCTGAGGTAGAATTAGGACCGCCAATGCACGGTGCTGAGGTACGCACGCCCTCTGACTCGCGCCAGCCGCGTGACGAACCAGCGCTGCACGAGTCAAGCATGCGTAGACAGCCTTGATCGTATTGCTAAAACTGTTAAGGCTGTAATAGAGCCGCACGGCCAACCTATAGGGGAGTGCGGGAAAGAGGGCGACTGAGAATACGAAGCATGGAATGAACACAGGACCCAGCATCTTGAAAGGGAGAGATAACGAGAGACACTGAGCACGCAGCCATCGGTGGGGAATGAGCACCTGACGTGGCCGCACTGCTGCCGTCGTATGGGCAAATCAACAACCGCAATACTGTCCCGCGCAAGCCCCCATCTCCGCCAGCCCATTTTTCACTGGCTCTCCGTCGCGATTGCCTCCCATGTCTCCACCCGTCTCACCGTTCCCCGACTCATCCTGGCCCCCATCTTACCTCCCCCCGTAACCGCCCCCCCACCGCCTCCCGTGCGGCTATCGGCGCGCAGACGGCGGCGAGCGTGGCGGACGGCGTGACCGACAGCACGGGGCGCGCGATTACGGCGGTGACGCCGTACGCGACGAGCACGGTGGACCTCATCAGCTCCGCCGACCCCACCGCGCTCTCCATCGCCGCGGGCGGGCTCTTCGGGCTGTACCTCCTGCTGCCCTCTATCGGCCGCGGCATCGCCTACTCCTTCCGCGGCTACGCAGGTGCGATCACTGTTGCTGCTGCAGCCGCCGCCGCCGCCACCTCTGCTGCTGCTGTCGCTGTCTCTGCCGTTCCCCGTCCCCATCTCATTTGCTCTCAAAATCACTCTCTGCCACTCACACTACTACTTCCACCAGTGCGCCCTCGTGTCCCCCTTATTCAACCCAACGACCCCGCTTGTCCCCCCTTCGCCACATTCCAACCCCTCATCTTCTCCCTCCCTCCTGCCCCTTCCCCTCCTTCCCCCTCCCTTGCAGGCGAGCTGACGGCAGCGCAGGCGTTGGACGTGTTGGAGAGGGAGGAGAGCGTGCTCGTGGACGTGCGCTCAGAGGACCAGAAGCTCTCCTCCGGCGTGCCCTCTCTGCCCCGTGGGCTCTCCCGCAAAATCATCTACGTCCCGTGAGTGTCATGCCGTGCAGCTGCACTGTACCATTTCCTCACTCTATTCTCTGCTCCCTACAGCTTCAGTCCCTCCGCACTGCTTTGACCCCAGTATACACCCCTCACACAGAGTGCCTGCACCCTAACCCCCTTATAGCAAACTAGAAAGCAAGAACGGATGTTGGGTCGCAGTTCAAACAAACAGGCAACGCTACACAACAAAACCAACATTCACTCAACACATCCTTTTCTCCTCCCCTGTCCTTCCCATCCCTTGTCAGAGTGGAGGAGGTACCAGTGGAGCTGCGCGACCAGCTGAAGAACCCCTTGGACACGGAGGCGGAGCTCACAGCCATCAAGGTGGCGTCGCTCAAGAGAATTGGCCGCCGCGCTAAACTCATCGTCATCGACAAGTCAGTGCCCTCCCTGCCTCCTTCCCTGCCCTTTCCTTCGCCTATGCTATGTACTTTTGGGGTTCAAACCCTGATTCCCTCCCACACTGAACTCCTAACTTATCAGCTTATCACCTATCCTCTGCTGATCTTGACCTCCCTTCAGCCTTCCCTTCTCTGTTGGCTTCTCAACACCCCCCATCCCTGCCCCCAACCTTCCCTCTCCCCAATGTCACCTGTCTCCTCCCTGCAGCGACAATGAGATCTCAAAGCAGGTGGCGCGGTCGCTGGCCTCTCTAGGCTACCGCAACGTGTGGGTCGTGCGGGACGGCGTGGAGGGGCGGGCTGGATGGGCGGCGAGCCAGCTGGCGATCGACTCGTACGACGGGCCACCCACAAGCTGGTTCTCGGTGCCGTCTTACTCGTCGGGCGGCACCAGCAAGGAGCGCACCGGCACCCAGAAGCTCGGCACTCAGTCTAGGCTCGGCACTCAATCGGTGTCTGCAGCTGCCTCCACTGCCGCTGGGGAGGAGTAAAGCTGCAGAGAGGGGTTGCAGCAATGGCACGTTCAAGAATGCTCTGAAGGCTGTTCTGACCAAGCTTTAGGCGCTTGGCCTTTTTTTTTTGTAAATTAGGTCCGTGTTGCTCCAACCAAGGAATACATCAATAAAATGTTTGGGGTGCTGTTTGTGGTCGTAAGAGTGTAGATGCGGAATTTCAGCCCTAAAAGTAATTAGTGCGGGTTGCATGTTTAGTAGGAACTTATTGTTTGCACCTACCTGTGCAAAGATTGAGCCCCTCTAAATGCGTATGGGTGCAGCCGCGGATTCGCCCTATCTGCTCATCACTTCACTCCACTCCCACCCCCTTCCTCAAGCGCACAATCTCAACTCGCCTTTCCGCGACACAATGCCGCTTCGCTCCGCAATCACAGCGCCCTTCGTTTCTGCCTTCCGGCCGTGTGCCTTGCTCATCCTTCCGCGCGCCTTATTCCCAGTCATTCCCGCGCCCATGGCTGCGCACATCCCTGCGCCCGTCCCTACAGCCAGAGGCGCGGACCTGTGGGCAACCAGCGCAACCGTTTTTACGCGAAGCCGCACGGACCGCCGAAGCCAATCCTCGTCGAAATCAGTTCCTCGCGAATCGTCGCTACGGCCTCTGGCGAGCCGGCTTTCCTCGTCGCTCACCCACTGCGCCACCTACGCCATCTCCTCTCCTGCCCAGCAATTCCCACTCGCCACCGCCACGCCAGCACGGACCAATCTCCGCGACGCGCAGAAACAGAGCAGGGGAGCCAGGGGGCTGCGTTGCGCAGGTCGTGCGGACGCGCATGCATCCGGGGAGGCGGGCGCGGGGGCCGCGCGGGGAGGCGAGAGCAGCGCGTGGCAGGTGGAGCTGGTGCCGTGCCTCACGGACAACTACGCCTACCTCCTCCGCAATGCCGCCACCGGCGCCGCGCTCGTCGTCGACCCCGCAGAAGCCGCGCCCGTGGAGGCGCGACTGGCGGAAGGGGGGGCGGGCGGCAAGCTGGCGGCTGTGCTCTGCACGCACCACCACTGGGACCATACGGGCGGCAATCTGACGCTGAAGGACAAATACGGCGCCACGGTAGGTGGGCCCTTGTGGCCGTCTGCGTCCGATTGTGCTCCCTCGCACATCACATCACCACACACTCGTTGCTCCCCTCCCCATCATTTCTCACCCAATGATTCCTCACCCGTTGCTTTCCACCACGACCCCTGCGTGCCCTTCCCTGCCGCAGGTGGTTGGCCCTGCTGCTGACCGGGATCGCATTCCAGGCATTGACGTGGCGCTGTCAGATGGTGACACGTGGCAGTTTGAGGGGCTAGAAATGCACGTGCTGCACACCCCCGGTCACACCAGAGGTACAACCGTGCCACCTGGGGAGGGGGAGAGGGTAGGGGGGATGCTCAGCCGTGAGAGGCACTGCAGGGAACCCGGGAGTGAGTGAGTGTATGTCAGTGAGTGAGTGCTCCTCACCACAGTCAATGCCTGCATAAGTATTACGCATCGAATTATACGCTTGATTTTCACACTCCTTCCACTCCCCTCGTCCTCTTCCTAATCTCCTTCCTCCATCTCCATTCTGCTAATCTTCCTCTCATCCATGGGCTCAACCCCACCCTCCTCTCTCTCCCCTTCCCACCAGGCCACTGCGCGCTCTACTTCCCCGCCCTGGCAGCGCTATTCACGGGCGACACGCTCTTCTCCCTCGGCTGCGGCCGCCTCTTTGAAGGCACGCCCTCCCAGGTGCCATCCGCGCTGCCATGTGCTGCATGCCGTATGGTCCTCGTGCCCACACCTGCTTCCCTCCCCCATCGTTCCCTCGTCCCTCCCTCCTCCCCCCTCCCCCCTCCCCCCTCCCCCTCTTCCCTCAAGTACCTCGCCTCCAGTCCACAGCTCACCCCATCTCTCCCCATCCCCGAGCAGATGTGGGCATCTCTCTCCCGCCTGGCCTCGCTGCCGCGCAACACCAAGGTGTACTGCGGCCATGAGTACACACAGGTGAAACCCTCTGTGCTCCTTTTCCCGTTTTACCTTCTCTGAATTTGTGTTTCTGATGTTTCGTAACTTGAATTTGCATTTTAAACACGGAACGTTTCTGGTCATGTCTTGTGTGTGTTATGTGTGGGTGTGTGTGTGTGATGGGTGTATGGGTGTCCCAAACGACAGGCCAATGCACGCTTTGCAATGGCAGTGGAGCCAAACAACGCCGCCCTGCAGCAGCGGGTGCATGAAATCACCTGCCTGCGATCCCAATCGCTGCCCACTGTGAGCCCACTCCCCCTCTCCGCCCATTCATCTGCCACATGTGCTTTTGAGTCGACTCAAAAGCTCCTCCTCTCCGCCCATTCATCTGCCACATGTGCATGTGCATGTGCATGTCATTCCTGCCTCCTCTTCTGCACTACCTTTCTGCCCACCTCTGCCCATCCCCGTATCCACCCACCTGCCCATTTACCCACCCCCAATCCGCCCAAACTCTTCCCACGGCCCCTCTCCCCCGCCTCGCCAGATCCCCACCACAGTGGGCGGGGAGGCGGCCACCAACCCCTTCCTGCGCGCCGCCAGTGCAGAGATCCGCCAGTCGCTACACATGGGCAGTGATGCCGCTGACGTGGACGTCTTTGCAGCTCTCAGACGCATGAAGGACAACTTCTAGGCTTCGCCTCGTGCCTTCTGCTTGCTTCCGTATCACTGCATTGTATTGATGCTCTATTTTGGTCGCTGTACGTTCTGGTAAATGAAATCCTGTACTGCGTTGATGAAGCTTGGACACATGCACTTGGCCTCAAGGTGGCGAGCCCATGCTGTGACACACGTGGACCTACGTCTCTCCAAGGCATCTCCCCTAAACGCCTCACTACGACAAAATGGGTGCTCTGACCCCATGCTGTCAAAACAGGTGGATAGGTCATCAAGTCAAGTGGTCACCCCATGATATCAAACGGCTGGAACTGCTTCTTGAATGCGTCAGCCATGGCTGCCTCCTCCTCCGCTGTCTCCTTGCACGCCCTCCAGTCGCCCCTCTCCGGCACCCCCACCACCCCCGCCACCACCTGCCATCACAGGTAGAGATGGGAAGGCATGAGGCAGGGGGGGGCATGTGGTTGGGGGGTTAATGCATGCGAGGCACACATGGGGGGGCAAGGCAGAGAGAAGCAGGTGTCACGGCAGCATGGCCTGCTTACATGCAAAGCCTCACCTCCTCCCCACCTGCGCAACACCTCTCTCCCGCCCGCGTCTCACCACTCGCCCAACCCCCCCTCACCTCGCGCCCCAGCTGCATGGGCAGCTTGGCCCCGCGGTCGATGGCGTGCACCAGCAGCGAGGCATCGGGCAGCTCCACTGTGAGGTACTGCCCGCCCCGGCTCTGCTTCTTCACCTCGTCCACCACCGCCATGTGCTGTCCGTCTGGTGTGTGCAGGGGAGATGGGGTGGAGCCAGGAGTGGGGAGAGGCGAGAAGGTAAGAAGGCATGGAGGTGCGAGGAAGGAGAGACCAGACGGTCCCACACGACCAGACGGTCACACACGACCAGACGGTCACACACGACCAGACGGTCACACACGACCAGACGGTCACACACGACCAGACGGTCACACACGACCAGACGGTCACACACGACCAGACGGTCACACACGACCAGACGGTCACACACGACCAGACGGTCACACACGACCAGACGGTCACACACGACCAGACGATCACACACGACCAGACGGTCACACACGACCAGACGGTCACACACGACCAGACGGTCCCACACGACCAGACGGTCACACACGACCAGACGGTCACACACGACCAGACGGTCACACACGACCAGACGGTCACACACGACCAGACGGTCACACACGACCAGACGGTCACACACGACCAGACGGTCACACACGACCAGACGATCACACACGACCAGACGGTCACACACGACCAGACGGTCACACACGACCAGACGGTCACACACGACCAATGTTATGGGTTCCGGTGCATCCACCTTGGCTTCGAGCCCAGGTGGTTTACCAGGTGTTTTAACAATGGTGCTTAGGAGTTCAGGTGGTTTACCAGGTGGTTTTGGCACGGAGGCGAACTGGAAGTTGTGGGAGGCAGCAGCGGCAGTGAAGGCAGGTAACACCTGGTCCGCCTTGTCCTGGGGGATGGGCACCACCTGCCATGTATGCACGCATGGTGAGCAAAGGGGGAAGAGGAGTGAGTAGTGGGGAAGAAAGGATGGGAGAGCGCATTGGAGGTGGGTGAGGGGCCAAGTCACATCAACACCAGCAGGCAGGGAGCGCCATGTGCCAGGAGGAACGGCACCACGTGCAATGCCATGTGCCAGGAGGAATGGCACCACGTGCAATGCCATGTGCCAGGAGGAATGGCACCACCTGCAATGCGCAGCTAATCCTCTTTAGATCGTCCAAAACGCTCCCACTCACATTGACATGCGCGTGGGTGGCGGCTCTGAGCTGCAGGAACCGCTCAAACGCCACCACGGTGTGCCCCTGCGCCGCAAAACACTTCCTCAGGGCTCCCATGTACCGCCACATCTCCGCCAGCGCGTCGGATGGTAGCAAGATGACGCTAGGGAAGTGCTCTATAGGGAGGATGAGCACGTGGCCGGGCACTAAGGGACCCTTGGGTAGGGCGACATAGCAGTGCTCGCCCACCGATACCACCAGGTGAGTCTCCACTTTGGGGGACGCCAGGCAGAACCAGCATGGCGCTGGGGTGGGGGGCGCTGCTCCCCCTGCTCCCCCAGCTCCCCCCGTTGCGCCCCCTGCCGGCCCCCCTGCTGCAGGCGGGGCAAGCAGTGCGGCGAGGGAGGCGGGGGTGAGGGGAGGGGGAGTGGCGAGGAGGCCGGGCGAGGTGGAGGGGAGCGAGTGGGCGAAGCGGCAGGTGTCGCCGCGAGTGCAGCTGCCCCGCCGCACAAAGTCAAAGCACACTCCCTTGGGCAGGTCTGTTGCTCCGCCACTGCTGCCCCCCACGCCAGCGGCAGCAGCAACAGCAGCAGCCGTCGCAACGGCAGCAGCAACAGAGCCAGCAGCAGCATTCCCGCCTCCCCCCTGCCCCTCCCCCGCTCCTCCCCCCGCCTCCCCGCCCGCCAGCGAGTGTCTGAATCGACAGTCCGTGCCCCGGCTGCAGCTGCCCTTGCTGAAGTGCTCGAAGCACAGGTTGCGAGGCAGCGGTGACCCGTCCTCTAGAGTGTGCATGAACCGACATGCATCGCCCCGCGAGCACGCCCCCTTGCCTGACAGCTCAAAGCACACCTGAGGCCCCTCCCTGCCCCCTCCCCCCGGCCCACCGTCCCGCCGTGCCCTCTTCTTCCCTGCAGCGTACCGCCAGTACTGCTCCCCCTCCCCCGCCCCCCCCGCCCCCCGCGCCTCCTCCTCCTCCACCTTTAGCGCCCATGCAGGCTTTACCGCCCCCTCCCCCCCTCCTTTCCCCCCGTCGGAACTTTCCCAGAAGGTGCGCTTCGCAGCGGTCTCCTCCGCCTTCGCCTGGGCGGCGGCGGCAGCAGCCCGGGCGGCACCGTCAGGGGCGGCGAGGCTGCCGGTCCAGATTTGATTCTTGGCGGATGTAGGGCGGGGGAGGAAGGGGGAGGGGGTGGCATCGGGGGGGCGGGCGGCGAGGTCGGAGAGGGGGAGGGAGGAGGCGGGGCGCAGGGAGAGCGCGTGGAGGAACTTTTGCTTCGCCTTGTTGCCCACGGGGGCTAGACCTATGAACCGCGTCACGGGACCGGATGCTGACGTGGAGGCGTCTTCTGCTGATGTGGCGGCGGAGGAGTTGATGTAGGGCGGGCGGGCAAAGAAGGCGCCCGCGCCACCAGCCACGTGGTAGCTGGGCGGCAGAGAGAGAGAGGGAGAGAGAGAGAGAGAGGGCTGATGCTGGGTGCAGAATCGATGGATACAAGAGGCATGTGGGTGGGAGTGACGATGGTGCAAGCAGCTGCACGCATGCCGCTCGATTGCACGAGCGAGCATGCACATGGGGGCTTGCACGTTCCCACCCAACAACAACCCCACCCATTCCACCCTTTCTACCCCTCCACTCTCCCTTTCCCCCCCTCCTCTCACCGTGGCATGAGCTCCTTGGCCAGCGTGGCAGCAACAGGCGACCCCACCCCCGCCCAGTCCACGCTGGCAGGCGCCGACGCTGATGTGGCGGGTGGAGGCGAGGGCAGCAGGGAGGGGTGGGTGAGAGCAGCGACCCCCTTGGGCCACTCATTGGTCAGCAGCACGTCTATTGCTGCCCCGTCCGCCCCCGCATCCACCAGCGCCTCCACTGCCGCCCGCTCCTGCCGCCCTTCCGCCGCCCCCGTGCCGCCCGCCTGCCCCGAGAGGTACGTGGCGGGATCGTATCTGCCGCCCAGATAGGCCACCTTGAGGCCTGTGGGGCGGAACAGGGAGGGAAGGGGCGGGGTGGAAGACAGGTAGGGCGGATTGGATCCAGGAGGCAGGCAGAGAGGGGACGGCTTCATCTGGCCTTTGGAATCAAAGCAGAGAGCGCACAGTATGACGACACACGATCAATGATCGGCCACTGGTTTTGTTTGAAAGTCCACACACGCACCGCACAGGTCAGCAATGCCTGCTCCGCGCAGCCATTCGATATTGTCACATATCTTCACGCGCCTGTGCGACCGCCACTCCCCCTCCCCCACCTCCTCATCCTCCTCTTTCTCGCCTCCCCCTGACCCCCCTCCTTGCGTGCCCGCCCTAACCTCCCCCTTGCTCTCCTCCCCTTCCCCTGCTTCACCGACCGCTTTGCTTCCATCCCCCTCCCCCTCCCGTGTCTCTTCCCCTTTCTCTTTCTCCTCCCCCTCACCTTTGTCCTCTCCCTCCCCTTTCTCCTCCCCCTCCCCTTTCTCCTCCCCCTCCCCTTTCCCTCCCTCTTCTGCTTCCTCCTTCTGTTCTTCCTTTCCTTCCTCTTTCACTTTCTCCTCCGCTGCTTCCCCTTCTTTTCGCGTCGCCGCCCCTCCTCCTCCACGCACAGCAATCTCCAGCAGTCGCTGCGCGCCGACTCCAATGTCGCCAATCAAGAACGTCGGAAGCGGCGCCTTGGCGCGCCCCGCGATGTAATCCTCCAACTCTGATTGGCCGCCCGCTCCGCCTGCGGCGGCGGTAGCGGGATCCGAGGGCGGAAAGAAAGCGCCGACGCAGAAGAGACAGTCGAAAGGACCGTTGGACTTGTTCACCTGCGATTGGTGGAGCGGCGAAGAGGTGGATGAATTAGAGCGTATTATGGCAGAGACCCTTGGACACACGGGATTTTTGTTCCTCGAATTATAGGTTTGCGCGGAACGGACAACGAATTTCCTAATCGCGAGATTCCCCAATGGCAGCACCGCCACGGCGACTCACCGCAGCGGCTCGTTTGAACAGCAGATTCAGGCGACCTTCCACGTCGCCCGCGAAAAGGTACCGGCCGTGAGGCTCGGCCGCCATGGGGAGGAAACCCGTGCAATGCGTTGTCTCAATGAGTGCTGAGGAGAGGGCGCGATTTATGGGGTTGACCTGGAATCTGAGATGCGAGGTTCTGGGCCCTCAACCGAATTAGGGTTCTTATGTCGAAGGCACCGAAAGAACAGCATTCGAGTTTAGAAATCTTGGCTCGGCGGCTAGAACAAATTTGATTTGTTGTGCTGCGCCCTCAGGTTCGTCACGCCTTCGCAAGGCTCCGAGCCACTCCCAAGGCTCCTCGGAAGCATGAATCTTCCTCGAGGTTTGCTCCAACGGGGTCCGAACCACAATCAACCACCAGCAACTTGAAATTACACTTCTCGAGCCAGCACTCGAAGCTCGGCAGTTCTAATGACCAATAGGAGAGCAGTCTTGTTGGTCAGTAGGGGCTCGCATGAGGGGCGGCTTGGATGTGGACTTCAGGCGGGGCGAGCCTGGCGAAATGTGATTGATTGGGGGGCCCGTTGGTTTGGGAAGATTGGTGGATGCGAAGAAAGGGAAATCTCGCACAAGTTGCCGGGCAGGACGAAGAACTAAAGCACCCTCGATTTTCTCCTCCCTCCCAACCACCCTCTCGATTTCCCCCTGCGCCTCGCCTCACCTCCATCCTTCCCATCCCAACCAAGTCGATCCCTCTCCTCCGCTATCACCGCGCCTGATATCACATGCATTCTTTCTATCCTGCTCGTAGTCGGTATTGTTTTCCTAACGACAGGGAATCTGGCGAGTATCCGAAGCGCACTGGGTCGAGTGGCGCACTGCGGTATTGAGTGGACATTAGATAACGGCGGTGCTTGACATTATCTGAAGCAAGAAAATGGCATTGGCCGGAAATTTCTAGGTTTTATTTTCTAAATATACGAGATCCATTATCAAAATGTGTTCCTGAAGTGTCGTTTAAGTCGCGGCGCGTAGTCGCCTCCACCAGCCTGCCATGCCGAGCAACAGCAGCAGCGGCGGTGGGGATGGCGACGGGGAATCGACAACGCCGCAAGTGGTATTGACGCGGCACGGGGTATGGCTCCACACGACCTTCCCCGACTCCTCCGTGGGCATCGGCGCGAGCTGCGGCGTGCCTGGCGGCGCCGCTTTGCGTAGCGGATCTCGCGGCAGCGTGCGACGGAGGGAGGGGGCTGACTACTCGGTGCCGCGTCACGTGGTTGAAGAGACCAAGCGGCAGTTGCGGCCGCTGCTTAACGCGCTTAGATTCGTCGAGTCGAGTAACAGGTGCGAACCAGATGCAGCGTGACTTGTGAACGACCGTATGCTTTGTATCCCTTCCTCGCGCCGGCGCTCTCCGCCCTCCCATTTCTCCTCATTTAAGCTCCTATTTCCGTCGTTTCTTCCGTGCACATTTTTCAGGGTGAATTGCCCTGACGGCGACAACGGGAAGAGCATCGGGCCGCTGCAGATATCGGAGGAGTACCATCGCGACGCGTGGGGCCCGCTGACGGGACCGTGGTCGCAGTGCAGGTGATGCTCGCAGCGCGGCTGTTGGCGGTATTAGCGACTATTAGCGGTATTAGCGGCTATTAGCGGTATTAACGCCTATTGACCGTACCAGCGGCTATTAGCGGTAATAGCCGCTATTGACCGTACGAGCGGTATTAGCGTTATTAGCGGGTATGAGCAGTATTAGCGGAACCGTGGTTCATTAGTGGCATTAGCTGTAAGTGACGGTTATTAGCGGCTAGCGATATATACTAATCCGGCTGTTGGATCGCTGTGCATGGCCGCCATTCTTGCAACTTGACGCCTAACTTCCCATCTTCCCTTCCCTCTTCCCATGGCGGCGTGCTGGCATGGCGGAATGGCGGCGTGGCGGCTTGCGGCATGGCGGGTGGCGGCAGGGAGCTGGGGCACGCGGAGGACACGGTGGTGTCGTATTGGATGCGCTATTGCCCGCACGCCATCCGCACGCTCGACTGGGAGCTCCTCGCCAAGGCGCACAACGGTCCGCCGCGCTCTCCCCCGCTCTCCCCCGCTCCCCCCTTCCCCCTCCCCACTCTCCCCTCTCTTCATTCTCCCCCGGCCCTCTCCTTGTCCCGTTCACCAGCTCGTGTCCTTCCCATCCTCCATTCCCCTTGTCCCCTCCACCCTCTTCCCTACCCGACTCCATCTCCTCACAACTCCATCCCCCTACCCCTCCGTTTCCCTCCCATTCCCTCCTCCCACTCCCTCCTCCCACCCCTCTCCCCTTCAAAAAATCCCCTAACGGAGCAGGCGGGCCGCGGGGGACGCGGTACAGCAAGACGCAGCGGTATTGGGGAAAGGTGCGCCGCCACCTGCAGCAGCAGCCGCTGCATATTCCGCCCTCCGCCGCCACCATCCCCCCCCAGCGCCCCGCGCACCTTGCGCCCTCCGCGCTCGCAGCTCCTGACATTCGAGGTGCGTGTGCTGCTCCGCGGGTGGGCTGTGCGCGAATGTTGGTTGTGCGCACTGCAGCGGGTGAGTGCTGCACGCGGTGGTGCAATCACGGGCGCCCCACAATCCCCACCTCATCACACTTTATCGCATCGCTTTATACCCCCCTGTGTTACCTTGTGACGCCGTGTACCTGCAGACCCGTTGCTGTGTGGTAACCAGTCCGTCGTTACATGGTGCGCCGTGGAGCAGCAGCGGCGGAGGGCGCAGGGGGCAGGGGCGGGCGGGGGGGGTGAGTGGGTGCTGGGGGCGGATGAGTGGGGGAGAGTGGCGCTGGTGGCGGAAGGTTGGGGGGTGGAGAAGGGGGAAGGACAGATAGGAAGCAGCATAAAGGGGAGCGATGCTGGGGTTGGTGAGGCGGGAAAGGGGGGACAGCAGGCGCATCAGCAGCATGAGGGGCAGGTGGATGGGAAAGGGCAGAGAACGCGAGCGCAGTTACACCACGTGCATCACAGCACTCGCCCCGGCAGAAGGAGGCCCCGCAGGCTGCTGCTGCCTGTGCGCCTGCTCTCCCCCTCCTCCTCACTGCACCGCACTGCACCGCTCGCCCACATCCCCTTCGCGTCTGCCACGTCAGCAGCCATCGCAGCTGCCACGTTGGCGTATCGTCCGTCCTCCCCTCCTTCCTCCCCCAACTATCTATCTACTTCCCCTGCTCTCTTCTTCCCCTCTCCCCGCCCCTCTGCTTCCGCCCACTCCGCCCCTCCGTTCCCCGCCTCGCCCCCCCACCGCCCCTCCTCTCCGCCCGTCCCTTCCCCGTCCCCCTTCCCCCGGTCGCTATCCCCCTCCGCATCACCAGCGCCAGCGCCAGCAGCGGCGGCGACAGCAGGGGCTGCATGCGCAGCACATGGCGCCCCTCCCCCCCTCCTCCTCGCGGACTCCCCTTCTTCCCCCCGCCCTCCCTCCCCCCCGCACGCCACTTGCCAAGGGGACGCGGGGGTGGGAGTAGGGGGAGAAGCAGCGCGCACAGAAGGGGGCGGACGTGCGGAGGCGGTGTTAGAGGGAGACGCGGTGGATCTGGAGTTGCTGCGCGCGCTCATGGGGGGAGACGCGGGGGAAGGGGGGGATGGGGCGGACGAGAGTCACGAGGGGGTTTGGGACAAGTTGGGAGAGAGAGGTTGGGGTGTTGACATGCTGTTGCAGTTGGAGCAAGAAGGTGGGGAGTGGGAGGATGGGGAGGTGGAGGATGGGCGAGAGCGAGTGGTGGTGGCAGAGGGGGGTGCAGAGGAGGGGAGTGAAGGGGAGGGCGAGTTGTGGCAGCAGTTGGCGGCGCTTATGGGGGGCGCTGGCGAGAAGCGGGGCTTGGCAGTGGAATCGGATGAGCTGGATGCGGTGCAGAGCGGCATGGAGGGGCAGCATGCAGCGGAGGCAGAGGGGCAGGAGGAGCAGGAGGGGCAGGAGGGGGTTGGTGGCGGGCTGTCATACAGGGAGATGGCGCAGTGGCTGCTGCAGCACAGCACGGACGTGATCTGGGATGGCCAAGGGGAGGGTGAGTGCAAGGAGGAGGGCGAAGGGGAGGGGGGTGATGAGGTAGGTGCAAGGCAGGAGGTCGGGGAGGAAGAGGCGCCAGGGGAGGCATCAGCAGAGGCAGAGGCGGTGGAGGGTGCTCAAGGCAAGGCGAGTGGTTGGGGAGGAGCCGTACTGCTGGAGCAGCCTGTGCCTGATGCTGAGCTGGCAGGTGCTGCTGAGCTCGAAGGTGTTGCTGAGGTGGCAGATGCTGCTGAGCTGGCAGGTGTTGCTGAGGCGGAATCTGGGAGCAGCAGCAGGGGCGGCAGTGGAAGGAAGGGGCGGATGAGCAGTGTGGTGTGGGAGGTGGTGGGCGCGTGGGACCGCCTGCTGTGGGACGATGAGCATCACACGCACACGCACACGGCTGTCACACCAAGTGGTGCTGCTGCGGCAGAGACCTGTGGCGCACCGGGCAATGCTGCTGCACTGGAGTTGGGCGCTCAGAACGATCCGGCCGCATGGGAGGGAGAGGCGGAGGGAGGGATGGGGGACAGGACGAGGGGTGCAAGGAGAGGTGCAGAGGAGGAGGGCGGAGAAGAGGGTGCAGTCATCCTCCACCCCGCCGTTGCCCTCACCTCATCCCTGTCTCGCCCCTCCCCCTCCACTCCTCCCATCCCCCCCCTTCTCCGCCTCGCCCTCACCTCCACCACCCCACCTCCCTCCATCTCCCCTGCCTCCCCCCTCCCCCTGCAGCGCCTCTCCCCCTCCCCATCCCTCCCCCTCCCCCTTTCCCCCGACCCCCTAGCAGCAGCGGTGCTGCAGCTGTGCTCGCTGTGGGCGCACCTCCACACGGACCTGCGAGAGCGATCCCGCACCTTCCACCGCCTCTCCCTCTCCCTCTCCCTCTCCCCCGCCGGTGCCGCCGGGCCTGCCGCTGCTGCCGCTGCGAACCACTCTCTCACCAGCAGCACCGCTCTGCACCGCACGCACAGCTGCATGGATGCGTGGTCGCCAGAAGCAGTATTGGTAGAGGTGGAGAGGTTGCAGAGACAGTGTGAGGCCGCGGAGAGGAGAGGCAGAGGGGGGAGGGGGGACGGGTGTGGGGAGACACTGGGGGTGATGCTGGATGGGGAGGTGCAGCTGGAGGAAGCTGCCAGGAAGGAGCATGAGCAGCGGGCGGCAGTGATGCGGGCGGTGCGGGCGGCGATGGGGCGGGGGGAGAGGCTGAGGCTGTACGACCAATGGGGGGTTGACAGGTGGCAGCAGAGCCGGCTGCACACGATAGTGTTTCAGCGGCTGTGGAACGAACCCATGCGGTGCGTGGCTTGAGCTGCTTTCATGTCATGGTGGCATGATGGTGGCATGATGGTGGCACGATGGTGGCATGTGATAGTGACATGTGATGATTGCTGGGTTGGCCTTGATGTGCAAGGGGCTTGAGCTGCTTTTGAACACCTCAGAATGGTCAGACAAACGGTCTTTCAGTCTTCACCTCCCACTTCCTGCCCTCTTCCTCCCCTTGCTACTGCTCTCCTCCCCCCTCTCATGCTCCCCTTTCCCCCTTGCCTCCTACCTGCTCTCCCCTGCATGCATGCCTCAGGTGTGCGGAGAGTGCAGCTCTGGTCGCCAAGTTCCTGCCCTGACATGACATGACTTGACATGACATCACATTCCCACCTCCCAAATAGACCACAGTGGCTTGTGACCAGGGTCTATTCCCTGTGCTAGGTATGCGGATTCAAAAAAATAAGCGTGGTGTAGATAAGGGAAATAGGGGAAGCAGATTGCTGTTAATAGGTGTTGACTAGACAAATAGCTGATTGTCAGTTTGGTTCTAGGCGAAAAAAGCATGATGAGTTAGGTAAAATTCGCAAAGTATAGAGAGCCCATTTCATGCAGTCGAGCAGTGCTGATGGGGCAAGGAGGAATGGAATTAGCGGCCGCCAGGTGAACTTGCTGCTATGTTAAAAACACCAGTGAGGCAGTGCACTAGACTAGACCTACGAGATACCCTAGACCTCGGTTTGAGGCACAAGCAGTGCGGCAACCACAAGAGTAAGCATGCGCTGGTGCATTTTATTGCCTTGCCTTGCCCACTGAAGCAGCTGCAGCAGCAGTAGCAGCAGCAGCAGCCACGGCGGAGGCAGTGGCAGCAGCAGCAGAAGGCAACGTATCAGAATGGTGGTTAGGACAATGCAAATGAATGATGAACAGTTGAGGCCGGCTGTTAGAAGAAGCGTCCTGGAGGCTGGTGCCCATGCTTGTCTGGGCAAGCCACAACAGTTGGGGTCGCTGCACTTGAAACGGCTCCAATCACAGTGGCCAGAGCACCTGCATCTGCACCTGCACCTGCACCTCGAGCTCCTGCCTTGGAGCCAGAGTGTTGAGCCGTCTCAAGCAGCAGGGCACCAGCATCCCCAACTCATGCCTTGAAGGAGCAACTTGTGAGACATCTCAAGCAGTCTGCTGCTCCTAGAGGAGGCTAGAGCCCGTCTCTAGGAACGTCGGGCACGGGGCTGTACCTCCGCTGCACGTACTCCTGCCCTTGCAGATCCACTGCCACTTGCCCCCCCATCCCTCCTCCCCCTCCTCCCACCACATCCCCAACCCCCACTGCCCCCTCCACTCCCTCCCCTGCCCCATCCCCCTCTCCTCTATCTCTATGCTTCCCCTTCCGCCCCTCCCCCTTCTCCCTCAGCTTCCCACTATGCGATTTCTTCTTCCCCCCCTTCCGCCCGCTCCCCCCACTCTCCCGCCCGGACCCATCTCTCGACCCCGACCGAGCCACCCCCGCACCAGACGGCATCACGCCGCCCGCCTCCACGATTTGATCCGCCAATTGCCCCCCCTCGTCCTCCCTCAATTTAGTCACCTCCACCAAATCATACTCCCGCTGCGCAGGCGATTTCCCCCCCCGCTGCGCAGGAGACCTTCCCCCAGACGACCCTCTCGACCCGGGCCTAGACCCCTTGCTGTGGCGCCGCGCAGGGGGGATGGCAGCGGAGAGCTCGGGCTGTTGGGGGTCGGAGGGGGCTGTGGGGGGCTGGGGGGCGGAGGGGTCGGGGAGGTCGGCGCGGAAGTGGTTGCGGGAGGGCGGGATGGGCGAGCAGAGCGCCTCGTACACGTTGCGCATGATGCCGCGGTTGTTGGGGTTGCGCTTCTTGTCGTACCGGTACCGGAAGTTCTCATACGTCGTCTGTGGGCCATGCAGAGGGGGTGGGGGGCGGGAGGAAAGGCACACAACAAGGTGGTTGATGCAAGAGACATGCACATCTGTTGGTCTTTCAAAATCTGGTTCTGAGTTCGGTTTTCACGTTTTGGTTTTGGGTTTACGGTGGGGCGAGGAGGGGGAGGGGCGGACCTGGTTGGTGGACATGAGGTAGAGGTGGAAGGCGGAGAGGCCCCCAACGAACCAGACGGCGAGGAAGGTGTACGCCATGAGCACGGCCGCCATGGGCGCCTGCCCCAGCGCCTGCCACACCGTGCGCGTCTCCCCCCCCGGCTCGTACGCATTGTCCATGAGCACCTGGCGGAGGCACGGGCAGGAACGGGGGTTGCGCGGTGAGGGCAGGGGATGGGGCGGGTGCGAGTGGTTAGATCGTAGTGGGTTGGTGGAGTGGTGAAAAGGAAGGAGCAACAGAAAAGACGGGCATAGTGAGTTCTGGGCACTTGGAGGGGCGGCAGTGAGCAGCAGAAGCGCGGCAATGAGCAGCAGGTGGGCGGCAATGAGCAGCAGGTGGGCGGCAATGAGCAGCAGGTGGGCGGCAATGAGCAGCAGGGGGGCGGAAATGAGTAGCAAGAGGGGCAGCAGTGAGCAGCAGGAGGGATGGCAGCGAGAGGTACCTTGATGAGGTAGGCGGAGAGTGAGAAGACATAGATGCAGAGCGCCGTGGTGGAGCACACGAAGAGAAAGAAGAATCGGTAGTTGCGCTGCAGGGATTGACCGGGGGGGGGGGGGGGGGGAGGAAGTTTTTTAAAAGGGACTTTTGAGTCGACTCAAAAGGCAGAGCGCTGTGGTGGAGCACACGAAGAGGAAGAAGAAGCAGTAGTTGCGCTGCAGGGATGGACGGGGGGCAGGGCATGGGAGGACGGAGAGGCGAGGGTGGTTGGGTGGTGGAGGAGAGATAACAGTTCAGCAGAATAGCATGCAAATGAAGGGTGAGAAACAGGACTAACTCATAACGCGACCTATGAAGTGCCTAATGCCTGGTGCCTGGTGCCTGGTGCCTGGTGTCTGGTCCCAACTCCCTTCCTCCCCTGCCTCTGCACTGGCGTGGCTTCCGCTTCTCCCCCCCTGCCGCTGCACGTGAGAACCAAAAGGCTGCCTCGTTATGCGCCCTATGAAGTGTTGGCTGCCAAGTCCGGCTCTCCCCTGCCTCTGCACTGCCGTGGCTTCTCCCCCTCCTCACCTCTCTACCTGCCCCTGCACGTGCCTATTCCCTCCTCCCCCCTCCCCCTGCCTGTGCACTACGCGCCAATACCCCCCTGCAGCGCGCACCTTGCCGATGCACTGGCCCACCCAGGGGCAGTGGTGGTCGAATCTCTCCACGCAGTTGTTGCAGATGCTGCAGTGCGAACACCGCGGCGGCCTGCCGCGCACAGGAAGACGGGGTGGCGGGAGAGGGGATGCGGGAGGAGAACTTTGTGTGATGCTGGAGCGGAAGCAGCTCCCGGATGGAGGGGGGTGGATGGGGGAAAAAAGGCGCGGATCCAAAATTGCGTCTGTAGACACAGAAGAGAAGAAGATGAAGGCTCTCTCATAAAGGCTATTTGAATAAAGGCTCTGGGAATGAGGAGAGCACGCACGCGCCATGCTCACCGGTACAGCATGCAGGTGTCGCAGTATTTAACCTTCACCGTCTTGCCCTTTATCACCACGTCCTTCGTCCGCGGCAGCCGCCGCCCTCCCGACGGCCGCGGCGCCTCCACGTCACCGTCCGGCTCGGGGGGCTGTGTGTTGCGCGGGACTATGCCCGGGTCGCGGCTGGAGGTGAATAGCAGCACGCACAGATCCTGCGCGCAGCGGCGTAGGGGAGAGGGGGCAGGGGATGGGGAATGAGAGATGGGGGAAGTGTGAGGAGGGTTAGTGGAGGGTGGATAGGGAAGGAGGAATGGGAAGGAATGGGTGCGACAGGGGGGTGTGTGGGAGGTGGAGGGAAAGGTTGGATGGGAGGGGGAGGGGAAGGGGGGATGGGAGCGGGAGGATGGCAGATGGGGGATGGGACAGGTGGGATGGGAGGGGGGATGAGAGAAGGTGGATGGGAGAGGGGATGGGGGAGGTATGAAGGGGGGATGGAAAGCCGCGACGAGGAAGACGGGTTGAAATGGGATGGGTGTTGATGGCAGCTGGATTGAAAGTGAGCCCTACACGCATCCAATACACACATGCAAGTTGTACACTAATGCCGACCAACAGGCTGAACACAGGACTATGGAGGATGGTAGAGTGGATGGGGGACGGGGAGATAGGAGCTGTGGAGGTGGAACGAAGGTGGCAACCAGGAAGGCGATAAACTCATAGTCTGAAGCGTCGGAGGGAGGTGCAGCGACGAGGAGACAAGGATTTGGAATTGGAAGAAGCATCAGTAAGAAGTACGGCATCGAGTGTGGGAGATGTAGCGCGTTTGATATCGACTCAGCTTCGAGAGTAACGAGATAAGGAATCCTCGGCGATGGGTAGGATGGAGGTGGCTACGAGTTACACTACTCACCCACACTACGAGACATATTCCGACTATTAGTATCGCGATGCCACCCGGTACTTTATTGATGAACTGAGCGCCAACGAATATGCAGAAAAGCGTCCCCGGTATGGATATAAGGGCGATGGATATGAAGAGCGACCGCACGTCCGGACCGAATATGCAGCGACCCCAGCAGAAGAAATTCTGCAAGGTTAACGAGGTAGATCGGATGTACGAGCAAGAATGGTTGGAGTTGTTTCAGCGGCAAGAGAAAGTGGTAGCAAGTGCTGCATATACTGACGAGGAAAAGCGGTGGACCTAGGGCGTCACAAGGAATCTATTAGGAAGACTTACGTTACTGCCTTTCCAAGCCTGATACACCTTCGTCATTGCAAGAATCTATTGACCGTCATTCCTAACGTTATGAAGGACGAGTAGATTCTAAGAAGCACGAAATTCTTCACTCTTCACATGAGCTAACTACCAGGAACGCGTCGACCTCTGCGACTAGTTAGAGGTCACGCACGGCAATTCATTGAAACCACGCGGAAAGATAGACAGGAGCCGGAGCGAAGCTACGGAGTAGGAATAACGACGACGTGTTGTGGTGACAGGCTAGTTGGCTGTTTTGGTCGGGAAAGCTACACACCAAGCAAGTGCACAACAGCAAGCGATTGGGGGATTCAGGATTCAGCAACCACGATCAAACTGAGCCAAGTCAAGGTAGGGTAGCGGAGGATGGCGGGGGAGTTGCTGGGTGGTTGGCGGAAAGGCAGGACGGAACGGGGACGGTGGGATGGGAAGGGAACGCGTCGAGAGTGTCGTGCGGACGAGTTTCGATGACCACTGGTCAGGTCACCTCGGTTTCGCCGCGATGTGCTTGTCGCCCTGGGGTGATCCGCACCGCGGAGCCTGGTTCTGCTTGGCGTGCGACGAAAAGGTCGTTGGGAATTGCGACTGAAGGTTTCGCAAACCCGCCAAATTCAACCCAATTGCGGCCGGCGGCAGGCGTGACCTTCCTGGCTCACATGATCGCACGGGAGGCGCACCGACGCAACCAGCTCTGACGGATTTTTTGGGTTGCATACACCCGCCAACAGACGGGAACGGTAACAGAGGAGATAGGGACAAACAAATACGCGGTAGTGTAGCTGGCTGGTGACTTATGTGACAGCCAAGAACTGACACAGCCATATAATAATGAGACACACAACATGAAACTCTGAAGTTGCAACTACCAAACTACTGCTGCCTACCAATGCGGAAGATGGCGATTTATATCCTAATCTAACCCATGGTTCATATAACAAGCTGCATTCATCGGGGGCTAACATAGTTCCTCCTTAGTGCAGGCCTCACTGAGGGCAGGGGTATGTTGAACAGATTGAAGTAACTATTGTATGATTGTGGTTTGGGACCAATCATTTGCTTTGGACAGCTTCTGAATTGCGGGAACCGCTTCAACACCTCGGAGTTGCTCCTCAGCCCAAAATCCCCATTCTTAGAATCCCTGAACCCTGCTTTGTCGATACTCGTGGCAAAATAACGCATGCGGTTGAGAGCAGGCACAGAAGGGAAGGGCGCACAGTTGGGCATGTAGATGACATATTTTGGAGAGCCTGACGGGGTGGCAGAAACTAGCTCTGCGTAGTTTTCAGTGGGAAGCCCGCTGCATCCAGATGTGACCGCGCGGCTGTGAGCAGCATCTGTGCCATTGTTGCAGTCAATGCCGTTGATGCGGTTCTTCCCACAAAAGTTGGTCAGATAAGGATAATTCTGCACCAGACAAAGGACAGAGCAAGGGGGGAGTGTAGTGAGATAACGGCAAAAAACAGCAGCCAGGAGACGCAAGAGACATGTCAACATCAATGCGCTAAAGAATCTGGACAAACAGGCCAAGTGGGGCTGAGTGAATAACGCACCCATCGAATCTCGGGCGTCTGGAAGTAGGTTTTGAGGAGGCGGTTCCAGTTGGGGCCAGCGTAGTTATCACAGTTGTTGAGGTGGTTGTTCTGGCACGAGATGTACCCCACTGAGAACTGCGTCGTGTTGATCATCACCATGCCCAGTATCATGTTGCTGCCAGCCACACGGAGCAGAAAAAGACAATGCAGAAAGAGAATCAAGAGAATTCGTATTGGGAACATACCGTTCTTATGCGAGTAGCGGGAGAACAGCAAAGGACGATAGGCTTCAAGAAATTTGGAAAATCCAACTGACGGCACCCTGCATGTGCACCTCCATCCCCAACTCACTTCTTTCCAGAGTTGAGCTTGAGCCCATCAGCTGTCTGGTCGCACACAAGCCCATCCGAGATGACCCCACTGGACACCCAGTCGATGTACAGGCAGTGCCCACCACGGTACACATAGTTGCAGCGCAGGTAGTTCCCAGGGTTCACCCAGTGCGTGTCAAAGTAAATCCCACTGTTGTCCAGCCGCGTGTTCGCCCCTGTCTCGCCAAAGTCGTGCCGAATCTCATTGTAGGCCACTTTGGTCAACATGGCATCGCCCACGTTGTTCATGCCGTGGCCCATCTGGATCCCCGCGAGGGTAAAGTCGTGCAGGCGGTTATTCATCACGTTCACCCCTATCCCGCCCCACAAGATCATGATCCCCACGCGCGCCCGCTGCGCCTGCTCCCGCCCCTCCCCTCCGGAAAACAGCTCATTGTTTGTAATCCATACGTTGGAGCGCTGCAGAGTCGGGCCATGCCCAGAGTAGGACACACGGATGGCTGCCGGCCAATTGGCAGGATTCACAGTGACTCGCATGTTGTCAATTCGCGAGTACGCGGCGCGCATGACATCAATCCGTCCGTGCACCGTGCCCTGTGTGACTTGCACGGCGAAGACACGGAAGAGGAAGATGGCCGGGCAGGAGTAGCGCCCGATGTAGATGTCTCGCACCTGCTCCATGTTGGGGGGAGAGCAGATGGCAGGGAAAGCTTTTATTTCAGTCGACTCAGAAAAGGGCAGGGCAGGAGTTGCGGCCGATGTAGATGTCGCGCACCTGATCAGTGTCACCGAAAGAGCAGATCATGGTATCAGCGTCCTTCACGAGTATGACTTGTAAAAAAATCTCACTAGTGGCTCCAATATAGTGGGGCAGGAGTGGCGGCGAGTGTGGACGTGGCGCACCTGGTCGATGTTGGGGAAGCGGCAGATGGTGGTGTCGGAGTCCCTCACGGAGATGTGGAAGTTGATGCCGTGCACGAGCACGTTGTGCGTGTTGAACAGCTCCAGGACTGGCGTGCTGCACATGCACGCGAGGAGGTGGGTTGGGGGGGTGGGGTGGGGTGTTATGGCAGGAACGGTTAGAGAGCATAAGAGAGTGAGGTGAAGTTGATACGAGCATGTTGTGCGTGCTGAACAGCTATAACACTGGCGTGCCGTGCTCGGATGGGTGGGAGGAGGGCATGGCAGGAAAGGATGTGAGGAGGGACATGAACAAGGGAGGGTGTTAACTGTCCGGGAGATTGCTGCCTGTGCATGATGGGGGAGCGAGTGAGCGCCGGCACAGAGTGGAGGAGAGGAGACAGTGGCGTCGTGAATCGGTTGGTGCTTGCATACAGGCCACTCACGCGGTGTTGGGCAGCGAGATGGTGAGCCTGCCGGGGCGCGTGGAGTTGAAGATGGTGCACGAGAAGTTGGCTCCGAACACTAGTCCACGTGTCAGGCGCACGTTGCTCCACAGCAGCATGGTCACGAGCGTGTCGTTGGGGAGCGTGGCGCGGCGCAGAATGTCGCGCTCGAACCCCACGTTGATGACGATCGGCGGGTTCGGCACCTTGCATGGGCGCGCGCATGAGTTGGCGGACACGCGCGGCGGACCTGCGCGGCGGGGATGGGGGAGCAGAGGGATAAGAGAGGGTGGCAGATGGAGAATGCCGATAAGGCGACGCATTCGCTGCAGGAAGGAGGAAGGCAGCGGCAAGGCAGCAGCGAAAAGTGGAGGAGAGACCCGAGAGGCTGTCCTAAGGGGAGAGACGCAGCCGCCAGCAGCAGCAGCATGGCCGCGTGTGGTCGTACCGGGGAAGTTAACCGCGGAGGGATTGTCCGAGATGTAATCCATGGTGCGCGCCGTCGCCCCGTCGCCGCGCGAAGTGTGGCGAGCGGCACTGCTGTCGCCGTCGCTGTCGCCGTCGCCAGAGCTGGTCGCCGAGGCATCGCCGAGAGCGACGGCTGGGAGCAACAGGCTCGACGCGATTAAGACGGCAGCTATTAAGGCACGAGACATGATTGCTCGCAGCATGTCGACACGCCTCCTGACCGGAATTGCTACAACACCAGACGTTCGAGTCAGACTGACGCCTGACATGACGTCACGTTGCCTGTCAGCCAGCACAAGGCTGCGACGATAGCTCGCTCGTTGCTACTCGTATCTACGCGGTCAGCGGAATCCTTCAAGGAATCCGTTAGGTGACCTCGCAAGGTACCCCGAATCAGAACTCAAGCCCGTCGGACTGGCTATCATGTTCCGTGGAGCGAATGCTGGCAATGACTCACTCGACACCATCCTTCCAAGTGCTCTCACCCCAGGATCCTCAACGCGACGGTTGCGGCGGTTGTCTTCAAAGAGTACCGTGTCGGGACCTCGAGAAGGTGCCATGGCGACGTACTGGTTGGGACGAGCAATGGAGCTTCACCCACCTGACATCTTTCAGCTGAAAGAGCGGGTGAAGGCACGCAGCGTGACGAATGCAACGACAACTAGGTCAACGAAGCCATGGTAGTAGCAGCGAGTTCCCCGAATTAGCTGGTTACAGCATAGGGGAATGAACTGAACAACTCGGTATACGGGTACCTTGTTAGTTATTTTAACGAGTGTTTCTGTTTCCCCTCACCATAAATCTTCAATTGCTGGAGCTTGGCATTGATTGGCTGAGCCTTTCCAGCCCTGATCATGTAGGAAGGAAGCTGCACACGCAGCATCCAGGCCCAGGAAGGTTCAACCGTTTGTTGGGTCGACCTTGAACTTGTCGACGACAGTAAAGTGCACTTCTCTGACCACGATGTCAGCACGACGAATCCAGCGTGGACCAGCCCCTGATGACGACAGGATGCTCGCGGTAAAGAGCCAACGTGCCCAGCACTGGGTGGTTCGCGTAAAAAATTTGGTGGAAATTCCTCCACGTGGCGGAGCCAAGCTCCAGAATCCGAGGCGGCTCCATGTTTCCGCTTCGTGTCCGCTTCTCCGCCACTCTTATCACGCCTTTCCCACCACCACCGCGCGCCCTACTGGATTCGCTCGCCGATGGTAGTGAGGGGGTTCAGGGGTACAGCACCCGCCCCTCCGTCCTGCTTCGTGTGCGCCTTCCGGAATCCTCCTCCCCTCACCTCATCCGTCAGCTCCGCTCGTCCACTACTCAGTCAGTCCCTCCCTCCCCATTCCGCCTCCCCCTCCTCCGCTTTTTCCCCACTGGCCAGGTCCGCGTCAATCCCTAACACCTCGAGATTGCCACAATGGAACTAATCGCTCCACCAACTGCCATCATCACCTATATTTGCAAGTCCGTTCTACTTCTCTATCTATTCGCTGGTCGCAATCTCTTCACAGTCTAGAAAGTTCTTTGTCGGCATTCTCTGAGGGAATATTTATTGAGATTAAGCCATGGACGCAATCGTCGCCCACTCCCGAGTTCTCTTGAACAGCTCGTTTCTCTCCCGAGCAGACGTCACTGATGCGTCTCTCCTGTCCCGTCAAATTGCCTCCGCGCGACCGTCCTTGCCGCCATTGACGCTCCCGAGAAGGCGCCTCTCTCTCCGAGCCTCAGCCGCCAGCAACGGCGCCGCGGTGTCCCCGAACGGCACTGCTCGCTCTCACAATGCGGCCTCGTTCACACAGAACGGCGTCGCTTCACCAGGACACCTCGAGGGTCCTGCCACTATCCTGTAAGCCCTCCTCCCCTAACTCGTTCTCTCTGTCAATATCACGAATCCTAGCGTTGCTGACAGACGATCTTGGCCGTTCATCTGACGGTTCATGTGTCCGTGCAGATGGGGAGATGGTCCCATGCCGCTGGTAGAACCAGAAGCCGCGGAGACAGACAGGGAGGCGCCAAACAGACCGCTGTCGCCGAGATCGCCGGCGCGCAGTGAAGTGCCCGGTGTGCGACGCGTGGAGGAGGCGATCGCCGCCATTCGACGAGGAGAGGTGAGCGCGACAGTGGTGTGGCTGGGGGAGAGGGTTCGGGCAGTAGACGACTGGATGGGGAGCGAATGGCGCGAAGTTCGCAGTAAGCCGTGGAAGCCGACAGCGCCAGCTTTATTCAGTCTGAACCTGTTCCTGTGCTCACCTGCGCTCGCCATTGCTCGAGTAAGCTCGTGAGGAATTGCGCTACATTAGTTAATTCACTCGACTGATTGATCCCATAATCACGTCGTTCGGCGACAATCCTCCCATCGTGGCAGATTGTGGTGGTGGTGGACGAACACTCGCGGGATGTCGCTGATCTTATCATGCCCGCGTCGCTCGCGACGGCGGAGCGCATGGCCTTCATGGTTCGCCACGGCAGCGGCATCGTCTCCGCCGCCGCGTCCCCCGCTGTGCTAGACCGCCTCTCCATTCCGCCCATGCTGGCGGGCGCCGAAGGCATAGCGAAGAACGGCTCGCCGTCCTCCGTGTCGGTGGTGAGTTGACGCTGTCTGTCACAGTAGCGGTCTCAGGATGGTGGCAAGGCATACAAATACACAGCGTAAAAACACAGCAGCAACAATCCCTGCTCTCCCGCGTCCTTCCGATCGTCAGATCTGCACATACAAGGCCATTCTCTTGCTCGCCGTCCACCCCTCACTGGTTACGCCCCTTTTCTCCTCCCCCTTCCCCTCCCCCAGGACGTTGCGGTGGGCACCACAACGGGCATCTCCGCGGCGGACAGGGCGCGCACGCTGAGGGCCCTCGCGGACGCGCACTCGCTACCCGCTGACTTCTGCCGCCCGGGCCACATCTTTCCGCTGCGCGCGCATCCGGGCGGAGTGCTGCGCCAAGCTATGCGCGTGGAGGCGGCGGCGGACATGGCCGTGCTGGCGGGGCTGCCGCCCGTGACAGCTGTCACGGAGCTGCTCAATGATGACGGCTCGCTGCCCGATGCCGCTCAGACGCAGCAGTTTGTCGCCCAGAATGCGCTCACGCTGATCTCCATTCAGGATATCGTCAGGTGAGAACACTCACATGCACTATCATGCCCTGCCTTTCACCGCCATGCCATGTCTTCTCACGTGCATTACCATGCCTCCCACATGCCCTGCCTAACCGGCCTACTCTCATGGGTTGCCATGCTATGTCTTGCTGCAACTACCACGGCCTTCACACCCCTGAAGAACGTCAATGCCCTTCCACCACTCCCTCCAATGGTCTTTGTCCAAGTCCTCATGTTCACCCTCCCCTTCGTCCGCCACCCCTTCCCTCCCTGCCCACAGGCACCGGCGGCTGGTAGAGCGCACAGTGCGGCGCACAGCGCTGGCGCGGCTGCCCACGGAGTGGGGCACGTTTGACATCGTGAGCTACATCAGCGATGTGGACGGCATCGAGCACGTCGCCATGGTCAAGGTGTGTTGCTCGCTTGCTCCCATTCTCCTTCCCCAATCCCTTTCCATCCCCTCTCCGGTCCTTTTTCTTTTCTCTTTTACCCACCGTCGACCCTCTCCCTGCCATACTCTGCCTCCATCCACCACATTCGTGTTCAAGTGCCCAATTAATTGACTGACTGGCCAACGGGCATGTCATTTCAACTCCTCTTCCCTCTCTTCTCTCCCTTCCCATCCCACAGGGTGACATCTCATCAGGCGAGGACGTGATGGTGCGAGTGCACAGCGAGTGCCTCACAGGTGACATTTTTGCCTCCGCCCGCTGCGACTGCGGCCCCCAGCTGCAGCAAGCTTTGCGACGCATAGAGGCCAAAGGCCGTGGCGTGTGCATCTACCTGCGCGGGCAGGAGGGCCGGGGAATCGGGCTAGGGCACAAGCTGCAGGCATATAACCTGCAGGACATGGGGCGGGATACAGTGCAGGCTAATCTGGATTTGGGCATGCCGGCTGATGCTAGGGAGTACAGCGCTGCGGCGCATATCTTGAGGGATCTGGGCGTGCGGTCGCTGCAGCTGATGACGAATAACCCCGCGAAGCTGACGGCAATCAGTGAATTAGGGTTTGCTGTCAACGGACGAGTGCCAGTGCTCTGCCCCATCAACATTGTGAGTTACCCTGCCTCACTTGTACTCTCTACCTTGTCTTCTGCCTCTCAGCAGTCTCTCTGCTTTTTCTTCCTATAGTTAGCGTCTTCCGCTGGTACTCCCCATTCCCATCCCTCTTCTTGTGCACATTGACATTCCATGCTCACCCGAGGTTCCATCCTCTCTGTACCGTACCTCTGGTGTGGCAGGAGAACCGGAGATATTTGGAGACAAAGCGCGCTAAGATGGGCCATCTCTATGACGCATCGCTGGCACAGCCTATTAGCGGCAGCTGGGAGGCACGGGGGGAGGATGTCGAGGAGGTGGAAGATGCTGAGAGAAGAGTGTAGCTTGGATAGGGGGGAAGGTATAGTAATTTTAGGTGTAGGTCAAGCTGCTCTCTTCATTATTATGCTCCTGTTGGTTCAGGAAAGCTGTGATTGTGCATATGCTTGTCATTCATGCATTGCTGAAAAAACAAGTTAGCCAGTTCAAGGGTACGAATGTCTCCACTACTCTTTCTGGGGCTAGATATCGAGTAGTCAAGACTCTGAAACAAGAGGCTTCTGTTAAAATCCTTCAACACAAAAGTACCTGGTACCAAGAAGGCTGCCAAATGCATATGTTGTTGGGAACAAGTCTTAAGCGCCTCTGTCGTGTCGAGACTCAGGACACAAGCGAAGCAGCTCAAATCGAAGTGCAACGAGTCAACCCTCGGAGGTTAGGATAACCGCTGGAGGTTACAAGAAGGTCAAAGGTCAACGACCTTTGACTTGACAAATGCAGCGCGACAGCAAGGACACACAACTGACTCGACATTGAGCAGTTGCCCGAGTCGCACTGTATCCAATCGCAACAGTAAAACAGTTTAATCATATCTATTCGTATTCCTTGTACTCTTATATAAACCTTTGTATTTGCTTGTTTTAATCAACTTACTTTGCCCTCACATACTAGCGCAAGGTGGTTCAAAGACCTTTTATTCAACGCTTCCGCTATTACATCATCCTACTCAGACTTTAACTCTACAAAGATCCTAGGGCTCTTCAGCCCAACATGGTATGAGAGCTGTTGGGCTGAGATAGCCCCTTAGGATCTTTGCAAGGGATAACTCTAGGTGAAGTAGTTGTAATAGCGGAAGCGTTTAGTGAAGAATTTGAACCGACCTTGCACTGGTGTGTGAGAGCAAAGTTGATTGAATTAAACAAGCAAATACAAGGATTTATATAAGAGTACAAGGAATAGATAGATAACTGTATTGCTGTTGCGGTTCGATATAGCGCGACTCGGGCAACTGCTCTGTAACGAGTCAGTTGTGTGTCCTTAACTGTCGCGCTGTAATTGTCGAGTCAAAGGTCAGCGACCTTTGACTTTCTCGTAACCTCCAGGCGGTTACCTTAACCTCCGAGGTTGACTCGATGCTTCGATTGGGACTGCTTCGCTTGGTACCTTGGATTTTGATACGACAGAAGCGCACTTAGGACTTATTGTTTCCAACACTCCCCTTCGCTTCTGGAGTGTTACTGCTGGTGACGTGGCCTTGTCCAGTCAGCATCATGCAGTATTCGAACTTCTGCTTGCCGAGTTTCTTGGTCAAGTAATCGGCTGCCATCTCGGATGTTGGACAGTATGACAGATCGAGTTTCCCTTTTTCTATCTCGTCCTTCACGAAGAAATAGCGCAGGGCGATGTGTTTCGTCCTGTTTGCGAAGCCGTTTTTGTTGGCGATGCGAATCGCTGACTGGTTGTCGCAGAACACGGTGAAGCTGGGTAACTCGGCTAGCTTCGCTTCTTCCAGTAGTTCGCGAAGGTAAAGTCCCTCCTTGGTGGCTGAGCAGAGTGCAATATATTCTGCTTCTGCTGAAGATAGTGCGATTAACTCCTGCTTGCTCGACTGCCAGGAGATAGGACCGATAGGCTCAAGGCGGTAGACATAGCCGGTGCGTGAGCGCCTGTTGTCGGTGTCGCCGGCGTGATCGGCGTCGACGTAGCCGATTAGCTTAGTCGGTGTAGCTGCGCTCTTGTGGTAGGTTAGCCCGATCGTCGCGGTGCTGACGAAGTAGTGGAGAGCGCGATCAAGTTCCGCCAGGTGTTCAGCTTCAGGCTTCTTGAGATAGGTGGCGAGCTGACTTGCGGAGTAGGATAAGTCAGGACGACAGGTGACGGCGGCGAATAGCAGGCATCCGAGCTTCTTCTGATAGTCGCGTATGCCGGCGGGCTTGAGTAGAGTAGTTCGTTCCTTCTCGGTTCCTGATGTGTAGCGGTAGGGCGTGGAGATGGCGCTTGGTGTGAGGCTGAAGCGTTTCGCGATGGTGTCGGCGTATTTCTCGGCGCTTAGATAGATGGCGTTTTCTTCTTCGCGGATGTTGAGCCCGAGGTACTGTGTAACGGTGGAGGAGACCGTGAGCGTGAGGTCTTTCTGGAGCTCTCCTTCGAACCACGTGGCGATGCCGTCGGTTGACCCAATGTAGAGGAGATCGTCCACGTAGACGATCAGGAGAACGTAGTCGCTTCCCTTAGTGAGGCGGTACATGCCTTGGTCGTGAGGTAGTTGACTAAAGCCGATGCGGATGAGACGGGCGTGCAGGTACTGCTGCCACAGTCGCGGTGCCTGCTTGATCCCGTAGAGCGACTTAAGTAGTTGACAGATTCGGTTGGGTTCGCCGTGGGAACCGTGCGGGAGCTCGACGTAGATTTCTGCATCCACAGGTGCGTAGAGGAAGGCATTCGCGACGTCGATCTGCCGTAACTTCTTCTTCTTCATGGCGGCAATGGCGAGGAGAATTCGGAGTGACGTGTGGCGGCTGACTGGAGCAAAGGTCTCGGTGAAGTCTCGTCCTTGCTCTTGGTCGAATCCACGTACGACCCAGCGTGCTTTGAATTTTTCGATCGTGCCGTCTGCTTTCGTCTTGATGCGGAAGACCCATTTCCCGGTAAGGATGGTTTTGTTCCGTGCCACGCTTACGGGAACAACCTTCCAAGTGTTGCGTTCCTCTAATGCCTTCAGTTCTCTATCCATGGCTTCACGCCATTTCTCCCTGTGTTCCCCCCCCAGAGCCTGCTGAACCGTTGCAGGCTCCTTAGGAAGCGAGCTGCGTGTGTTCCCGTGGACTGCGGTGACGAGGCCGAGGATTTGCAGCCCAGTCTGTGAGTATCGAGGGAGTTCTGGATCCTCGGGATAAGCTGCTTCGTCTCCCGTTTCTGGGTCGGGCATGAAATTTGGCCCTACCCTTTCTGCTTCGTTGGTGTTGACTGTCACAGGTGTTACGTAACCATCGTCGGCGAAACGGTAGAAGATTTCGGCGTTGTTACTGTCGCGAGGATTATCCTCATCCATGGGCACGTCGACGGAGCAGTATGGGAGAGGTCCGGCTTCTTCTGAGGCGTTGTCGACGTTCTGTTCATCCCAGTCTGCTTCGTCCGCTGCTGACGCGAAGGCTCGGTCACCACGAAAACCACTGGTGAGGTCCCGATTCTCGTGCAAGTTGGCGAGGTACGTCTGAAGGGTGAGTCTTTCGTAGAAGATCACGTCACGTGCTGCTACTGTTTCCTTTGTGTGGACGTCGAAGATTTTCCATGCGTTGTAATTTTTCTCGATGCCGAGGTGTAGTCCCCACTGTGCCCGTTGCGAAAATCTTCCCGCTCGTGCTTCTGGGGGTCTGTACTGTACCATGCACCCGAAAACTCGTAACATTTTCGTGCTGCCCTGCTTCCCTGTCCACAGCAGATGCGGTGATGCGTTGTTCGGGAGTGACGACGACGACAACAAGTTGTGTAGCATGACAGCGTGGTCCATTGCTGCTGGCCACTGGTGGTTGGGTAGCCGCATGCCACGTAATAGTTTGCGCATGCTGTTCTGCAGGGTCCTGTTCAGTCGTTCTGCAACACCTTGCTGCTGATGTGCGTAAGGAAGGGAGAGGAGTTGCTTGATCCCCCTTTCCGCCAAGAACTGCTTGAAGCGGTGAGAGGTGTACTCGCCACCTCCGTCTGACTGGAATTTTTTTAGTTGTGTTCCAGACTCTCTCTCTGCTATCGGTAGCCAGGCGGCGAATGCTGCGAGCGCCATGTCGCGGCTGGGTAGGTTGCGATGCCAGACGTATCGAGTGGCGGCGTCGATGAAGGTGATGGTGTAGTTGTAGTTGACTTGTCCTGGCTCGCGATTGTAGAGGATGTCGCTGTAGACTTTTTCGAGTGGTGCGTACGCTGGAGCGCTCGGGTTGTGATGTGAAGCAAACGGTCGATGAGGTAAGTCAGCTTCGGGACATATAAGGCAAGTCCCTCGTGCCTTCTGGAGTTCTCTGCCATCGGGTAGAAGTAGAGAATCTTTGTCAAGGACTCCTGCTCTTATCGTGTTATTCAAAACCGTGTTACTTGGATGTCCTGTTCGTGCGTGCCAGATCTCTTCAGAGGCACGGTGTCCAGGTGAACGCTGATATGCGTCGGAGTTGGAGTAAAAGCTGTCGACGAGGTTGGCGCTTCGGTGGACTTCACGTTGAGTCGGATTCAGCTGTTTCGCGGGTGTTGGTGGTGCTTCGTCGACTGTGACTGGTGTCGTTGTTCCTGCTGCTGCTGATGTTGTTGCTGCTGCCGATGTTGTTACTGCTGCTGATGTTGTTGCTGCTGCCGATGTTGTTACTGCTGCTGATGTTGTTGCTGCTGCCGATGTTGTTACTGCTGCCGATTGTCGAATTGTTGCTAATGCTCGTGTTCGTTCTGCTTCAGGAATGGTGTGCGAGTACCAGAAGCCTCCTGGGCTGAAGTCGGGGTCGAGATCCGGAGGGTGTGTCCAGTCAGTGAAATTCACGATGGCGTCGCTGTCTGCAGTGCCCAGGTCAGGAACGAAGTCGAGGACGAAGACGTTGTTCTTCAGTACTGCTTTCCCGATGTAGAGACCGCCTCTCCCGTGGTAAAGTTTGAACTCCTGGGTCGTGCTGTCGGCTTCCAGATGAATTCCTTTCGCCATCAACTGGCTAACGCTCAGTAAGTTGTAGCCGAGTCCTTCAGCGATGAGTACCTTAGACATGTGCAGTATGACATTTGTCTCTTGACTGAAGCTGTACCACTCCTTGTCTTCGTGTGCGCAGGTTTTGGTTGTTGGCAACCGTGATGATCACTTCCCGTTGGAGTCGATGTTCGCGTTGTACGAAACGCCCGGACGAGCACATGTGTTGCCCGCAGCAACTGTCCAAGAACCAGGTGTCTTGGCCGGACGGTTCACTTTGAGCGATGGCGGCGTACGTTGGATTCGGCTGGAGTAGCTCACGGCGAGGCGTTCTGTTGTCAAGCTCTTCTTCCGGTGAGTAGTGTGGTGGTGATTCGGTTGTACATGAATCGGTTATCTTCGTCATGC